GCTCCACCTGGTTGATGGTCTTCCTCTTTTTTGCTGACCCTCCACCTTTCCAAGTCACAGAAATAAGATACAGTATCATGGGCCCCAGGAGATAACTACAGAACATGGGTCTGTACCTACTACCCTCAGGCAGGTTCTGGGGACTAGGAGTGAGGTGAGCACATATAAAGCCAAAACAAAACCCATTACCAGATACAGAAGACAAAACCCAAAACTGTGTAAAGGGTTTGTGACTATGCTGCTGTGTGCCAAAGAGTCAACTCCGACTAACAGCTTTCTTACAAGACAGCGCAGAACTGCCCATCGTGTTCCCAGGGCTGTATTTTTTTCCCCCTTCTTTTCTGATTCAGGCACTTTCAAGATCATAGATCATCATTTCAGATTAAAAGATAATATACATATTAAGGAATCTCTTAAACTTCAACTCTAGTGTTTTACATAAACTATTATGTTTTGCATTTAGGCTAACCAAAAAAAATCTCTAAACATCTGTAAAGTGTCACTTTTAACATGAACTGTGGGAATAAAAAGCTTGACATTTAATTTGTTCTGTGTATAGTATTTACATTGTGCAAGCAATGATGGTATGAGAAACAGTGATAGAGAAACAGTAAAAATAAATTTAAAAAACCAAAGATTGATATTCTTACAATGTGCTAATAACGATCATAATTGTATATAAAAATGAAGCCATAGCAGAACGTTCTGTCAAAGTCTTAATGATCTGAGCTATAGTCATTACTCGGTAACAATTTACATACCACATCTGCTAGAACTGACTTTTTATTTCCTCCCCACCCCCACCAAAAAATGTTGAGTAGATAAATAGCATTTAAAAGTAAACTTTCACTTACTTGTGGGCAAAAAAAAATTGTACTCGAGATTATACTGGTTACAAGCCTCTTCCCTACAGGAATGATACAAAAAGAGTATAACTAGAGGGGGAAAAATCCAAAAAGGAATTGACAGGCTGTTAACTGGACAGCTCTGGACTCGAAAAGGACAGTGCAAATCCCAGGACTGATCACACACATGGCCCTCTCCTCTCTCCTTCAATGGCAAGAGGTCCGTTTTGCCACCAAATGACAGTGACTGAACCAAGTGAGGGGGGCACCAAGTATACAACGAATTAAACCCTGCAAAATGCTATGCTGGAAGCACAGGTGGCCAGAAAATGGGTCAATATCGATATAATTCAAATTGTATACACAGAGTTGTAGGTCCTAGTGCAGAAGACTGTTCCATCTTTCTCTGAGGAGCAGATGGCGACTTCAAACTGCCAATCTTGGCGGGCAGTGGAACACTGAAACCTACAAGGCTGCAGGGCTCGTCTAGGCATCTAAAGAACTGTAATTAAGAGGCGCTCAATTAGCTGATTTCTTGAACTGTTGGGAGTGTGTGAGTGTGAGAGAGAGAGAAACCCTTATCTCCCAAACAGAAACATCTTGAAGGCAAAGATCATAACTTGCCCTCAAGTAACCAATAATTCACTAATTGGCCAATAAAAATATAGTCAATTCCATCCTAACAAAGAACTAACTTCTTAGAGGAAAAAATAAAAATATAAACACTCCAAAATTAAAAGTCCAGCACTAACTGATACCAATAGCATAACATAAGCTGTAGTTTGTTCCTCAGAAAAATGTTGGAAAAAACGATTGTTGACAAGATTCTCAAAAGTCATTGCCACTGAGTGGGAAGTGCCTCCTAGCTGACATGCCAGCGGGTTTCTGGGAGAGAGTCTATTGCACAAGAGGACAGTGTCCATCCTTCTGCTGTAGAGCTGCTTGTGGATTCACTAGAGAAGCACCACCATTCAGTTGACAGCACAATTTCCTACAGACACTGCCCCCAGAACGTCCTGGTTACAGGATTAAATAAATACTAATCAATTTCCCCCCATACTCTCAGTCACATACTATTCTTTTATTAGCAACTGATCCTACTTCAAGAGGAAGTTGTCTTTGGGCTGCAGTAACAACCCCCCACTTTGGAAAATCAGGCAACGAGAACCTGAAGCAGCACAACTGCTTGACCCCAATGTGCATGGGGTAGAGGCCAGTCAGGGTGACTCCAAGGCAGCTAATAATAACTACAATGTGGTTTTCAAAGAAATCAATTATCATCCTGTTTGTCCGAGCATGAGGAAGAAAAGTAACCAGAAGCATAGGAACCAGTCAGAAACCAGGGGGAAAAAACAGAATACTTAGAGACAAACATTATCTTCCTACATATTCAGAGAGTGCTATTAAGCTCATTATATTTAAGATGCTAAGGACTGTTAGGCAATAAGGATCTGGACGGGAAGTAAAAACATGCTTCATTTCTAAATATTGATACGTACAAGGGAGAGTACACTTCAAACAAGGCAAATCACTGCTAATGCATCTATTTGAATTTAGAGAGATCCTTCAGGGCAGAGCAAATCTGCCCTATAGGGTTTCAAAGCTGTAAATCTTCTCAGAGGCAGACAGACTATAAGAGCCTTCACCCACTGAGCCTCTAGTAGGTTCAAACCACAGACCTTTCCATTAGAGCCAAGTGTTTTAACCACAGCACTACACAGTCCCTACACAGACTTTACTGTTGTGTACCATAGAGTTAGAACCGACCCACAGCTGACCTTCCCTGCGGGCTTTCAGAGACAGTTAATCGCATGGGAGGAGACTGAACATCCTTCTCCCGACTGCATTTGCTTCATCTTTTAGAAATTACACTTAGAACTTTCACTGCTCTGTGTTAAATATATGCCTTCAATGTTTGAACTTAATATAAAACATTAAAAAGCTGAAAGAAGAAAAATTATTAGACGTTTTAAACTAAGAGGAAGTGGGAAAGTATGGGAAAGAGCTGGGAAACTAAAGTGAGTGCGTGTGTGTTTGCACCACTGCTCCACTCGCGCTACAATACGCTCCACTCTGAGCGTATAAGGAGGTGATAAGAAGTTGGGATAAAAGGAGAAAAAGAGAAAGCCACATGGTGAAAGATACACATCCAAAAATACCCCCAAACCTCCTCTGCAGTGGGAGAGTGTAGGAGAACAAAAATAAACCTTATTGTTCTAATAGTAAATACACAGTAATGACGATAACGGCATGAATAATAATGATGAATCAGTAATAACTATTATAATATGTACCAGGAGCTAGTTCAAAACCATCCAATGGAAGATGCCACAGGAAGAAAAGGCCCAGCTCTCTGCTTCCATTACAGTCATAGCCAAGAAAATCCCCAGAAGGGTTTGCCAGCCGTGTGGGGTCACCAGGAGCAGGAATCTGTAAAAACAGCTACCACCACCCAGGCTTGGCACCAAGCACCTTATTCATAGTGGCTCATATAACCCTCCAACAATCATTTAAAGCACACACCTACATTATGCAAATTAGTATCTACATTTTACAATGTGAAAAAAGGAACCACTAAGAAGTGACCTACCAAAGGCACTTAACTAGTTAATCAAGTATTCAATCAAATCCAGACACTGTTGGTTCACAAAAACCTTTCAATCTATACTCTGTGGTGTCTGTTTTTATGTGGGACTTGGAGCTTATATTTGTTACCTAATGAGAGAAGCCCTGGTAGTGCAAGCTTAAGCACTGGGCAGCAAACGGGGGCGGGGGGGGGGGGGGGGCGCAAAACCCGGCCATGTGCTCTAGTAAAGATCATGCAATACCAGATCTGTTTCCAAATGCCATTGTGTCCGTTATGATTCATGACCTTACCGGGGGAATTAAAACTGATCCATAGGGTTTCTGGCTCATAAAGACCCCGTAGGACAGAATAAAACTGCTCTATAGGGGTTTCCAGGCTGCAATCCTTACAGAAGCTGAACTCTCATTCTTCACATGTTGAACAAGGGGGCACTTCACACCGTGCTGCCTCATCCGGTAAAGATTACCGTCCAGGAAACCCCATGTGACAGTTCTACTCTGTCTTACTGGTCTCAATGCGTTGGAATTGAATGGAGGGCACTCAACAATCACCAGAGACCAGCTCTCTATTCACCATCCCCATGTATTTCAGGTGTGCTACATGGTGATCTAAGCCTGAAAAATACACGGGGTGGGGGTCCCCAAAAAGATGGACCTAAGGAAGCTCTGGTGGCTTAGTGGCAAGAAGTTGCACCGCAATAATAGAGGTACACGGTTCGAATCCACCAGATGGTCTCCTGGGGAAAGAGGGACAATCTCCTCCTGCACCAGTCAGAGCGCGCACACACAGACACACACACAAAAATTAAAAGACACTTTAAGTAATCTGCTCATACTTTAAGTATGCGTAAAAATGGAAACACTCGTTTGAACAAGAAAAGGAGGAAGATCCTGAGATGCAGATGGCACAAGTTTTCTTTTTCTCTACTTCCTGCCTTTGCTTTAGCTATGTCCATTCATAAGACCCAGGAGCCTATCTCGTCCACTTCTCCTTCCAGTTCTCTCTTAACGACCAAGAGGACCCAGCAAGGTGAGGGGCTTCCACGTGCAGGGAGGCTAGAGAGAAGTAGGGCTCTGAACGGAGGAAGGGGAGCCTGACAGCCATCAGACAGCGATCAGCGCAGCAAGGCTAGCGCAGGGGCCAGAGGGGAGATCAATCGGGCTGGGGATCCAGATGCAAAGGGCAGCGAGACCACAGAGACTCAGGTACTTGGTCGAAGTGTGAGGTCGGAGCGATGGGATCTGAACCGGGGCCGAGGGTGAAGAAGAGCCCAGTCCCGTGACAGCCATCAAAGCAGATCTGAGAAAGGAAGCCGGGCGGGAACGAAGGCATTTCGAAACAAGAGTGAAACAAATAACCTCGAGCAAAGCGCAGGCCCGTGTGACAGCAGAGGCGGCTGCAAGGAGTCGCGCGCCAGGGCGAATGGGGCCAAGTGTCAGAGCGGGGACGGCGGGGGGCTGCCGAAGCGGGTCGGCTCCCCGGGAAGCCTGGGCAGAGGGCGAGCGCGGCCGTGCACCGTGCAACGGGACGGGCCCGAGGCCGGGCGGCACCCACCCCGGCTTGCGTACCTGAGGCGGCTGTATGACTGCCCTCCACTCCCGGGCCATGATCGATGCCGCTGGCCGGCCCTCCAGCGGCTTCGGGATTCCAGAAGTCCGGCCCCTCAGCCGCGTGCGGGTCCGACATCTGTAGCCCGCACCCGGAGCCTTTCCGCGGCCAGACCCGAGTGGCTCCGGAAAAAGCCGAAGGCTCCGCGCCTCCGAGGAAAGCCGAGCGGAGCCGGAAAGCGGGGCCGTGGCTGCCGCGGGCAAAGCGCGCGGCCCGGGAGGCTCCTCGCGGGCTCTCGGCAGCGGAGGCTGACGACGCGGGCGTGAGGACACTGCCACGTGCTTGGGGTGAGAATTTTTTTAATTTATTACTTTTTTTTGCAAAATCGGGCCCTGAAAGAACAAACAAAACCTGGTGAAGAGGCAGGAAGCTACTTCCGGAAGTCGTGGTATCCATGGAGACGCTGTCGGAAGTTGGGGTTGCTAGGCGGCCTGGGCGCGTCCTCTAGCTGCAGAATGGCCGAGGTCCCCGAAGACTACGATTCCGGGCCCGGTGAGGATGAAGACCTGAGTTCAGAGACACCTGCGGGGCCTCAGCTTCTTCCAGTGGATGAAGTTACCACGCCGGACACCATTGCAGAAGCAGACCCGGAGCTGCCGGTCGATTCTAAGGAAGAACCGCAGCCGGAGAGCGCCGGGGAGACGGAGCCAGAGCGGCCCCCGGAGAATGCTGAGAGTTTGCCGCGAACAGCCGCCAGCATCCCCGGAGAAGACATGTCCAGAGAGTTGGATGAAGACTCTTCTATTGACACCGAGCCAGACACCTCCCTAGAGACATCCACAGGTTGGATGGTGTTTATGGATGAAAAGCTGGACCTCGTGCCACAGGAGGAAACCATAATGCATGCCACTGAGGAAATGCTCATCGAGTCAGTGAAGGAAACAGATCTGGAGCTACCAGAGGAAGCCACCCCCGAGATTCCAGGGGCCACATTCAGTGAAACAAGATTAGGGTTCCTACAGGAACCCAAACCTGAGATCACCGAGGAGGTATTCAGAGAACAGCATGAAGAGAGCGTGCTGCAGTCTCCAGAGCACATAAGACCAGAATTTCCAAGTGATACACCCAGAAAGTCAGTGGAAGAATCAGATTCGCAGCCACCAGCGATGGCTTCATCAGAGATCACAGAGGAAAGACCAGTAAAATGGACTGAGGAGCAAGGAGCAGAGTCACCCAACCAGACTACACCAGAGTTTCTGAAGAAGAAACCAAGCGAGTTAACTGAGGAGGCAGGTCTAGCGCTTCCAGAAGAGATGGAAGCAGAGGTTCCAGAGGAAACTCCAGAAGGATCCTCTGAGGAGGCAGATCTGGAGTCTTCAGAAGAATCAGCAGAGGAGGCAGATCTGGAGTCTCCAGAAGAGACTGGGCCAGAGGAGCCTCCAGAAAAATCTGCTGAGGAGCCAGAGCTGGAGCCTCCAGAAGAATCAAATAAGGAAATAGGACTGGAGCTTCCAGAAGAGACAAGACCTGAGGTTCCAGAGAAGACACCAGAAAAGTCAAGGGAGGAGCAAGGGATAGAGCCACTTGCTCAAAGTACAGCAGAGTTTCCAGAGTTGAAACCAACCAAGTCTGTGGAAGATACACAAAGAAAGGCAACTGAGAGAGTCCTAGCAGCAGTGGAGGGGATGAAATCAGAGTTTCTTGAGGAAGCATCAACTGAGGGAGCAAATCTAGAGAAGCCGAAAGCAGGTGTTCTAGAGGAGACAAGAAGAAAGTCAACTGAAGGAATTCCAGCACCACCAGAAGAGGTTGATCTAATGCTACTACACGAGATCAAACCGATTCACGAGACACAAAGCATGTCAACTAGGGAGAGAGTTGTAGCATTACCAGATGAAGACATGCTATTGAGAGGAGTAGATCCCTCCAAGGATGATAGCACAAAACCAGTCAAGGTTCAGCATTCTGAAGAAGCCAGTGAGCTCAAGCACCCCAAGGATCACACAATTACGATATCAAACAAAGAAACGAAAGAGTCCCTGTTAGAGTTCCATAGAGAAAATGAAACAGAGATGATGGAAACAGATGATGAGTTTTCTAATACCACTAAAGAAAGCACAAATTCGGATCTCTCAGACTCTGAAATGAACTTGAAAAAGTTGCTTAGTGAAGATAAAATCACAGGTTTGTCTGGAGAAGTGGAGAAAATCATCCCTAGAGAAACCCAGCCAAGGGAAAAGGCAGATCTACAATTTAAGTATCTTGAGTGGAGCCCAAGGGATGTTGCAGAGTGGATTAGTCAACTGGGCTTCCCTCAGTACAAGGTATACAAAAATAACATTGTTAAAAATCTTGAAGAATTCTTTCATTCTCTTCTACCCAATCCTATATCCTTTTTCACTAGGGGTGTAGAAATGTCCTGGGAGTACTTGGATTTTCATTTTGGCCTTGCCACCAATGTATGATTGTATTTTGGGAGAAGATGAAGCCATGTTCTGATACATAAAAACACACAAGATATTTTATAATCCTCACATACTTTGGGCATGTTGCCAAGAGGGGTCAGTTTTGGAGAAGGACATTATGTTTGGAAGGGTGGAAGGAGAGGAAGACCCTGAAAGAGGTGGATTGACACTACCAGGTACTGCCAGATGAATCTTTTATGTCCATAGGTGATATAACTCGATTTAAAAACTCTAAATTCTACTTAAGTATAGTATACCAAAATTTTCAAATACAATTAACTGAATTAGCAGTATAACATTTAGGAAGAGTTCAGAGGGAGAGGATGTATTACAGGGTGGTTGGTGATGGTTATGTGCCATTACCTGTGACTCTTAGTGATGCTGTGTGCAATAGCTCTGAACTCTGCTCTATCCTGAGCCAGTCTCACTGTCTCTGACACACTTACCCCTGTTACCCCAGTTACTGTGTCAATCCATCTAATCCTGGATCTTCCTCGCCAAACTCTTTCAAGCATGATATCCTTCTCCAAGGATATCGTGGCCACATGCCCAAAGTTTGTGAGACGGAGCTTCAAAATCCTTATCTCCAAGGAGCAGCTTGGTTTCACTCTTTCCAGGACAAACCTGTTAGTTCTCTTGGCAATCAGTGGTATGTTATTAATAGAATAGAAAATATTTTTTTATTCTAGAACCAGAGCCAAACATAATTTCTTTCTCTCTTTGTCCCCGGCCCCCACCCCTGCTATCTGCAGTATGTGGCCTAGTGGGTAAAGAGTTGCACTGCTAACCCAAAGGCAGGCAGTTCAAATCCACCAGCTGCTCTGCAGGCGAAAGATGGGCAGTCTCCTCCCAAGTGATTTACAGCCTCAGAAAACCCCTGGAGAGTCAGCCAGGAGTTGGTACTGATTTGACGGCAATGAGTTGAGTTGATCTGCAGTACCTCTTTTGAGTGATGTTGTTCTTGTACTGACAGGAATGTTTTACTGAAAACTTCATCAGTGGTCAGAAACTCATCTACATAAACTGCTCCAATCTCCCTCAGATAGGGATAACAGATTTTGAGGACATGAAGGTGAGTTGTGTGCAAAGTTTCTTATAGAGCACTGTAACGATATCACCATCTGTCTCAAACCAACCTCCTTTTCTTCTATCCAGGCCTCTTACTTCTGTTAGTGGTACCTTCATACACCCAGTCCCTCAGTCTCAAAGACTCTCTCCTTTGATCTTCACAAAAATCTCCAGAACTCTAAGTGAACTAACTCATTGTCATAAAGACAGATACTGTATAGGACCATTATTGTAGAGCGTGTACAAGGATCCAGGGAGGGGAAGGGGGTACTTAAACAAAGGGTCACACACTTGATGGGTGGAGAGAGGCATGGTAAAGGAAAGGGGAAAGATCTGGTGTGAAAAATAATGAATTTGAATTTTATCAATAAACTAGTATAAAAATTTTTTTTAAGTCTCCAAAATGGTCATGTCTTTCTGTAGTTCTTATACACCTCATTTTCGCCAATAGAAACATTCCTGGAATGTTCCTTTTTTAGGTATTCACGATGTGCCCCTCCCTTTTTTTTACATGGATGGGCAGGAACATGTGAAAATGGTATTCACTATGTGCCCTTTGAATCCCTGCTTTTTTTTCTTGCTTTCCAACTATGGATATTATTCCTCTACTCAGAAACCTTCATTGGATCCCCTTTGCTTATAAGATAGTCTCAATTCCTTAGCTTAGGATTCATGACTCTCTACAAGCTTTTCCTGGCCTAATCATATATTCCTTTCAGATAATTCTTCCCTTCATCGGACCTGTTCAATATCTAACCACTCTTTTCCCATTCTCTCTCCAACTCCCCCCATGTCTATCCCATTTTATAATAGCAGTGTTATGCACTGTTTGTCCTTTTGTGACTGTGATATTTCATTCAGTGTAGAGTCCTCCAGGCTCCACCATACTGTGTAATGTTTTACAAGTTCATTGTTTTTCAATGCTGTATAATATTCCATTGTATGATTGTACCATACTTTTTCTATCCATTAGTTTGTTGATGGGCTCTTGGGTTGCATCCATCTCTTTAACACAGCAGTAAAAATAAGTGTGCATATATCTGTTTGAGCCAAGGCTCTGGTTTCCTTAGGGTGTGGTCCCAGTAGTGAAATTGCTACGTCAAATGGTATTTCTATTTCCAACTTTTTGAGAAAGCACTAGACCTCCTTCCATAGTGGCGGTACCATTTTACATTCCCACCAGCAGAGAGTAAGAGTTCCAATCTCTCCACAACTTCTCCAACATCTCTGGCCATGTGCTCAGAGTATGTGGGACAGAGCTTCAAAATCCTAGCCTCCAAGGAGAAACTTGTTGGGATTGAAGCACATATTTTTATCACCAAATCACGGGAGCACCCTTTATACTAATGGTCTTATGTAATACTTGTCCTTTTATGACTGACTCCAAGACAGACCTATCTGTTTTCTTGGCGGTCTATGGTAGGTCAAGGACTGCAGCCTTCAATATGGATTGAGGCTCAATGTTAAGAAGACAAAGATTCTCACCACTGGAACAATTGGCAGCATCAGGATGGATGGTGAAGAGATTGAGATTGTTCACAGCTTTAGTTCGCTTGGCTCCACAGTCAACACTCTTGGCACCAACAGCCAGGAAATTAAAAAAACATATTATGATGGGAAAGTCTGCTGTTAGGGACCTTTCCAAAGTTCTGAAGAGACTATGCATCAGAGAATTGCACAATGACTAGGGAGAATAGAAGGAGAATTGTTACCTTTGAGCTGTGGTGCTGGAGTGTTGAGGGTACCATGGAGTGCTAGGGAAACAAACAGATTCATCCTAAAGAGGGTTAAACCGAGCGGCTTCTTGGAGGCAAGGATTCTGAGCCTTCATCTAACATACTTCAGACATGTTGTAAGGAGGGACCAGTCCTAGGAGAGTGGAGGGACAGCACAGAAGAGAAAGGCCCTCTATGAGGTGGATTGATTCAGTGACTGGGGTAATCGAATGGGTGTATCAGAGACAAGGCGATTGGCACAGGACAGAGCAGAGTTTAGGGCTGTTATACATGGGGTCGCTATGAGTCGCAAGTGACTCAACAGCACATAACAACAACAACAACAACGATATATGTTCAAGACTCTTCTCCAGCACTACAATTCAAAGACATCAATTCTTCTGTCATCCTTAATCATTGTCCAGCTTTCTGATGCACAGCAAGTAATCGCAAGACCATGGCCTGTATCAGGTGTACCTTAGTCTCCAGACTGACATTGTTGCTCCTCAGTACTCTGGAGAGGTCCCTGACAACAGATTTTCCCAGTACAATTCATCTTTTGGTTTCCTGACTTATTTTGCATACGATATTAATGATAGAGTTTGATAATTTCCACATTCTGTTAGATAATCTTTCTTGGGAATGGGAACAGTTATAGATCCCTTCCAGTCAGTTGGAAAAGTAGCTGAAAATGGTCATCAAAAGAGAAAAAGATCCCCAGAAAGATGGACTGACACAGTGAACCCCAATAATGGGCTCTACCAGGGCGGAGGTGGGGCAGTAGAGAGTAGGGTCAAGTTTCTGTCTGTTCAGAGAGTCACCGTGAGTCGTAGTAGACTCAATAGGACCTAACATGAAAAGTCAGATAAACTACCAGTAATATGCTTTAAATCTTAAGCAGAAATAAAATCCATTATTTGTATTCATCAAAACTAAGAAAGAACTTGCCATTTATGCCAATTCTGGACCACTGATGAACCTGAAACATTCTTTAAGAATTCACTAAACTTGAGGAGGGATGGTTAGATTGTATTTCTGTGTTCTAATGTGACTCTTCCACATGTAATCTGTCATTTTAAAACACTTTTAATTAATGTCTACATTAGGATATTGTACTTGACAGTACTTGCCTCTTGGCCTACAGTAGGCATACTGCTCTTGTTTTGGTTGAGAATGTGTGTATGACTTCCAGGTTCTTCCTGGGAGTACCATTTGCAAACCTCGGGGAATCTTAGTTTGGAGCTCTATGGAAGAGTCAGCACAAAGTTGCTCATTATACTGACCAGACAAGGTGATTATTTTATAGCATCAGTTAAAATGAAAATCCTAAAGTGCCACAGTACATACAGTAACTGAATCTCAACTTTTCAAAACCTCAATTGCCTCAGACATCAGTTAGTGCTCTTCCTGTGAATTCCAAGTGACTGTGTGGACTGTCAAACCATCTCGAGAGTCCAGACAAAACAATTCATGTAAAGTTTGAGAAGAAAGGTATCTTGTCTATCTAAAATCCATTTCTAACAGGTGGTTTAGCATCAAGTTTAGAATTATTTATGGTATGAATTTTGCAGTCTTGTAACTATGGCTTCTAACTTTAATGGAGGTGGGAATTAATTCCATATAGCCCTTTGGTGTGTTCTAGTAGCAGTTTCACAGACTACATTCTCATCCATATGCACAGTGTGGATTCAAATAGTAATGTTATAAATGACTAAAACTAGGGAGCTCTGGTGGCCTAGTGGTAGGGAGCTGTGCAGCCAACACAGAAGTACATGGTTTGGGTCCACTAGCTGCTTTTTGGAAGAAGGATGGGGAGTCTCCTCCCATGCAATTTACTGCCTCTGAAAACCCACTGGAGGGTCAGCTATAGGTTGTTTTCTCAACAGTACACAGCAAGACTGAAACCAGAATCTGGAAAGGCAGGTAGGCAATAACAGTGTAATCTAGGATATTATATAAACTGGTCTTCAAAATAATACATGTGTTTAGAAACACAGACTAAATGGGCAAAAATATTTTAAAGTAATTTATAAGTACCATTAAGATAACAGCTTGAACTTAATGTCTGCTCTTCAGTGTTTGAAATTTATTTTTGAGTAAAGCAAACTGAAATAATGATTTTCAGTTTATCTTGATTGCATTTGACAGTACACACAAAAAAATAATAAATTTTTTAAAAAACCCAAATTTTCTTGGGAGCCCCTTATAGACAAGCTTTAGGGTGTATTTTTAGTTTATTAAAGTTTTTATTTTATATTGGTTTGCTTACAAAGTTCATATACATTGTTTCATTCCCATTCATTATATTTTATAAAATTAATCGCCATTGAAGTATGCCCATTATTGCCTTGGCCTTTCCAGATCCCTGCCAGATCTTTCTCATTTCCTTTAACCCTCTCTCCTTCCACCCACCAAACTGTGCAACCCTATGAGGTCTGCCCCCATCCATCTCTCTGCTCTCTCCGCCCCTCTTGGATCTTCATACACATTTTACTAGTTATCTTTCTATTTCTATGATAATAGTCTTACATAGTATTTGTCCTTATGAGTACTGGGTTAGTTCACTTAGCATAATGCTCTCCAGTCCCTCCCAAGTTATGTAGTAATAGTCTAAATCATTGCTCCTGGGTACTGTATAGTATTTCATCATGTGAATGTACCATAATTTCTGAATCCATCTGATTGTAGTTGGACATTTGGGCTGTTTCCATGTTCTTATAATGGTGAATAACACCACTATGAACTTTGGTGTACAAATCTCCATTTGTGTGTCAGTTCAAATTTTCTTAGAATAGCTGGGTCATATGGAATTTCTATGTTCAGCTTTTTGAGGAAATGCCAAACTGCCTTCCAAAGTGATAGCATTTTACAATCCCACCAACAACATATGAGAGTTCCTATCTCTCGACATCTTCTCCAGCATTTATTGCTTGCTAGACAAGGTATTTTTATTAACCTTCCCAGGCACAATGACAACAAAGTATTTTTCTTCCCCTTCCAGGGCACAGTCATGGCTCCCAATCTGACTCTGTTATCTAGTCTATGGTGGTTCAGATTTCTCAGTGGAAGGAAAGACATTAACCCACCCATAGCCGTCTGATGCACTGGCCTAGAAACATCATTAAATAATGCTTTAAACTAGAATCAATCTTATGCAATTTTGTATAATGCTATGCTTATAAACCTTTAAATGCATTATGTTATTATTTCCCTTATAATTAATGTAGGAGGCTAGTATTTGAAAGACATAGAAAGCTAAGCAAAACCCCTTAGGTTCCATTTACTTTCAGATTGGTCTCATTAAAAATTATTCTTGCATTTCAGGTAATATCTCGGCACACTCGGGAACTACTGGGAATTGAAGAACCGTTGTTTAACCGTCCAATCGCTCTTCCCCGCAGGGACAATATAGGTTTGTTTTTAGAACAAAAAAGTCACACGGGGGTAAAATCGGATCGTTTGACCTTTCCTGAATTTGTCCAGGCAACAGGATTACAGGATTATGCTCCATAAATACCTTCTTCTCAAGAGGATTCACCATCATGCTGCACTGAACCATAGCAGAAAGGTCTTTTCACTTAGCTTGAAAGATCAAACTGAATTGCTTTGAAGAAAGAAGTGTGGTCTCTTCACTTTGTTTCCTCTTTTTCATGAAAGTCCATTCCAGAGTTAAAACTACTGCCTCCTTCCTACTACCAGCTCACAGCAGTGTCTCTTTAGTTGCATTTTACTTTAGCTCCTTGTTAAAACAAAGATCCAAAGACAGTTGCCCATTGAACAACATGATGGTTCAGTGTACTGGCCCATGTTCATTTGAAACCTTACATATCTATACCTTTTGACTCCCTAAAAACTTAACTCTAATAGTCTACTGCTAACCAAAAGACTTACTAATAATATATATTTTGTAGGTTATACTGTTAGGTCATGATAGATGGTGAAGAGATTGAGATTGTTGACAGCTTCAGTTTGCTTGGCTCTACAATCAACATGCTTAGTACCAGCAGCCAGGAAATTAAAAGACGAATTGCGTTGGCAAAGTCTACTATCAGAGACCTTTCTAGAGTACTAAAAAGCAATTATGTCAGTCTGGAGACTAAGGTGCGCCTGATACAGGCCAGGGTCTTTCCAATTACGTGCTATGCATCAGAGAGCTGGACAATGACTAGAGATGATAGAAGGAAAATTGATGTCTTTGAGCTGTGGTGCTGGAGAAGAGTATTGAATATACCATGGACAGCTTGGAGAAAAAGCAAGTTTGTCCTGGAGAGGGTAAAGCCAGGCTGCTCCTTGGAGGCAAGGATTCTAACATACGTTGGACATGTTGCAAGGCAGGATCAGTCCTTGGAAAGGGATATTCTTGGGAGGGTGAAGGGACAGCGCAAGAGAAGAAGACCCTTGATGAGATGGATTGACTCAGTGACTAGGGTAATGAGAGTAGGTGTATCAGAGGTAATAAGATTGGCACAGGATAGATCAGGGTTTAGGGCTGTTTTACGTAGGGTCACTATGAGTCTCAGGTGACTCAACTTCACATAACAACAACAACAACATACTGTAAGGTGTAACACCTACATAATAGCTTCATTTCCACTACAAGGCAAAGAAGACATTTGACTGCAGGTGTAAGCTGTGGTACTTGCTGTAGGTACAGCAATGGCTTCATGAATGTCTTTGATTTGGCAGTTCAAACCCACTAGCCAGTCTAGGAGAAATTTTGGAATGTAAATCTTACAGCATCAAAAACCTGATGAGTGGCCATGAGTCGGCATCTCTGCTCTACCAGTGGCCAGTGCGTGTTCGCCATGGTCTTTTTGCTGGATGCATTCATCTTACCAGCAGCTGGCCATCACAGCTGTAAACCTCAACCTCAAGTTCTTATCAAGCACTTGAAATTCTTACAATGTTGTGACTTTGCTCCTTGGGAGCACTTTCAGAGGCAGTGGTGGCACCATGTCTGGGTCCCATAATGTTTGTTGTGCAGTGTTTATGGCATTGCAGTAACAAATTTGCACAATACAAGACAGCCACAATTGTGAGACACAGTTTCCTGGAGAGATGAAGTATTCATGCAGAGAAGGCTAGCTGTCATTTGGCACAATTTAAATGGTCCAAGCACAAATTCAGCTGCAAATTTCAAACCTATATTATTCCAGGTTAACTGTATGAATCCCCAGTAAATCCTAGTAATTCATCTGCCTATAGAAATGTGTTGGAGCAATATAATTAAAAATAAAGTCTGCTGATGCAGTTACTCTCCACAAATAAAAAAATGTTTTATTATTAAATAAGCATTAAATCATACTTCAGGGTATATTACAGGAACTCCTTTAAAGATATTTCAATGATAGAAGAAATTGTACTTTTTTTATATAGCTGAAAAGCTAGCTACAAGCCAATGCTTACATGATTATTGCCTTTATCCAGTGGAAAATGAAAAGTTTATGACAAACAAGAAAACTACTTTTAGAACAAGGCATCCAGGCAAAAGTCACTTGGAGACCAGCCATCCTTCTCAATGCTCACATTTCAGAGATTCCCTTCCCCCCATAAAAAGGTACCCCTGGGATGCAAACCTGGCAAAGCACTTACTAGCTTCTCAAGAGTTACATGTCAGAGAGACAGAGAAAAGATTTACATTTGTAGCCTTCTAGAATAAATGTTTTATAAAAATCCAAGGGTTAAAAAAAAAAAAAACAAACCACAAAGGGAATCCTTTCCCTTTTCTAGCACCAAAGCAAATTCCCCAGAGTTTGGGGGTTTGTTTTTCTTAAAGGCTGGGGAAGAGTATTGAATATACCATGGACTGCTAGGAGAACAAACAGATTCAACCTAGAGAGGGTGAGACCAGGCTGCTCCTTGGAAGCAAGGATTCTGAAGCTTCGTATGACATACTTTGGACATGTTGCAAGGAGGAACCAGTACCTTGGTGAGGGACATCATGCTTGGGAGGGTGGAAGGACACCATAAGCGAGGAAGACCTCGATGAGATGGATTGATTCAGTGACTGGTGTAATGAGGGGAGGTAGATCAGAGACAATACGATTGGCACAGGATAGAGCAGAGTTTAGGACTGTTATTTGTAGGGTCGCTATGAGTTACAGGTGACTCAGCGGGCACATAAAAAAACCAACTACCCTTACAAAGGACATAGAAGTACTATGGAGTAGGTTCTGGAGTTTGCTTACAAGACTCTCTTATGTAGTACATTTCAGACCATTCTAATATGAAATTCAGGCCAGAGTCTTCCCTTGGCAACTTCTGAAAAAGAACTACAAACTTCCTGGTTATTTGCAATGACTCTAGTTCCCCTCTTGTTTTACCTTCCTGTTGCACTTAATCTAAACCTGCTATCCAAGTCAAACCCATTGCTATTGAGCCAGTTCAAACTCACTGTGACCCTAAAGAACTGAAAAGAATTATGCCCTGAGATTTCCTAGGGAACTCTGGTAGCTCAGTGGTAAGGAGTTGGGTTGCTAACCCAAAGGTACGACAGTTCAAATCCACTAGTTACTCTGTGGGAGGAAGATGAGCATTCTCCTTTCCGATTTACTGCCTCTGCAAACCTGCCAGAAGATCCACCGTGAGTCGGTTCCAGCTTGATGGTACACAAGTATAGGATTCCCAAGGCTGTCGATTCCTATGGAAGCTGACTGCCGCCTCCTCTCAAGGAGAAGCCGGGAGGTTGTGACTGCTGACCTTACAGTGGCAGCCAGGTATTGAACCATCGTGCCACGAGGGCTCCATAACAACCACAGGCGAGCTAACATGATCCAGAAGGGCAGGGACAGTGCCTGTGTGCTTCGTACCAAAATGAATTTGCCAAGGAATCTGGAAACTTCGTCTGCCCACTGAAGAACTGTACCTCAAAATAGCATTTACACTGTATATTAATAGTGGTGATGAATCTAACTGCCTCACAACTAGACTAACAAGATTTTCTCTGAAGCCATCCCATCAATTTTTTTTTTAATCTGAAGCCACCCCATCAAATTTGCCTGGCTCACAATTATGCAAAATATAAAAATGTAAATTATTCGCCTAAAATCACAGTGATTTACATGTGTGGCAAATGGTTTCCTTCCCCACCACTTTAGAATTGAGCAAACAATATTCTGTTCAGCGCAACACACAGTAGTCTGTGACTTCCTTTTCCAATCAGATGGGGCCGCTTTGTTGTTTTCTACTCTATTATAATTGGCTTAAAGTATCTGCAAAACATAGAAATAAATTCTTATTTTAGAAAGAAAATCTATACTTAGAAAATTTTTTCCAGTCATTTGCTACAAATGCCAAATATATTTTAAATGATGTGAATAGCTTTAAATAAGACATTGTACTAGTCGTATTTAACTGAAATAAGCAAGAAATGAGTCATAATTCAATGGAGATCATTTACCGTGCTTTTACTTCTCCATCCAAAAGTGGTAGAACAACCAAGCAGTATCATTTGCCAACTCTGGATAAGAAGCTGCAATTGTTATTATAATAAGGACAGTGTAACTTCTGAATATATCTTTTGAGATAAATCATTTGTATAATAAGACCTTTCTGGGCAAGCAAGTTACTTAAATGAGTTAAGCCATGTAGATTCATTTGATTGCTTCCTCAAGCCAGAAACACCCAAGCATACTATATTTATTTTATTCCATATTTTATTTTATTCCTTTTTTCCTAATTCCCAGTACCTAATTTGTAGCAAATGTGGCAAACACAGTATATATAGTCAAGGCTTCCTCCCATGGTCAATTGTGATTAGCAGGGCACACCCATTTCAGAACTAATCTGTGTGAGAGAGGGGAAGAAATCCTGATTTCAGAGTTGTCTTAATTTACTGGAAAGGAAAGTCAACAGAAAGCACTGGTTGGTCTTTTCCAGTTAGAGAAATGCTAAGTGAGTGGCAGTAAAAATTAGTCAGGTGGTCCTGGAGAGAGGGACTCTTTGACAGATGCTGGCTGAAGGGAGTCTCCTTGAGCTGCACAGCAGTCAGATCGAACCAAGGGAAAGGCCTAGAGTAAGAGAAGTAAATGGAAAATGAATGCTATTACTTTATTTCTTAAAATACATCTGATTTCATAAACTAGTAGAAAATGTTAAAAAATACATCTGATTTGACATGCTTTCCTTAATGAAAATGTTCTTGTACTCAGAAATAAGATTCTGCATTTTCCATACCACACTAATTAAAACTCATAATTCATGAAACTAGTTAAATCAGGAATTCAGCTGAAACTATTCAATATATGGATATAAGTGTTCTTACAATTTTTCACACTCCTGCTTTTTCTCTAGGTGTATTTGGGGAGGAACTGATAACTAGAAAATTATAATATCCTTCCTATATACAGTTTATCCTAAATATACTGACATCCTTTTAGTATATTTTGTTTAAATTTAAGTATATTGTTTAAGTGTCATTAAGATTTAAAAGTCTTAGGGAGCTCTGGTGGCTTAGTGGCAAGACGCTGCACTGCAATCCCAGAGGTGTGCGGTTCAAATCCACCAGATGCTCTGCTGTAGAAGGAGGGGCAATCTCCTCCTGTACCAGTCAGATCTGATTTGACGGTACACGTAAAAATAATACAATAAAAATTTAAAAAAGATTTAAAAGTCTTAATATCACAGACATTAAGAATGGGAAAAGTTGCAAACAACAAAGGCTGGAGAGGTTGTGGAGAGATTGCAAATCTCTCACTGCTGGTGGGGATATAAAATGGTACAACCACTATGAAAGGTGCTCTCTCAAAAATTTGGAAATAGACCCAGCAATTCCACCACTGGGAATACACCCTAAAGAAATGAGAGCCAAGACTCAAACAGATGTATATACATCCATATTTATTGCTGCATTATTCACATTAGCAAAAAGATGGAAGCAACCCAAGTGCCCATCAACAAATGAATGGATAGAAAAACTATGGTATATTTTACACAATGGAATATTACACAGCATTGAAAACAACTCATAAAACATTTCACAACATGAAGGAGCCTAAAGTGAAAGGCTTACATTTCACTAATGCTAAGTGAAATATTTGTCACAAAGAGACAAATAGTGCATAACACTGCTGTTATAAAATAGGACAGACATGAGGAGCTTGGGGAGAGAATAGGAAAAGAGTGGATAGATAATGAACACTGCATTAGATCAGATGACGGGCAGAATCGTCCAAAAGGAAACTATGATGAGGTATGACAACCATCTGTAACGAGGTGTGCATTGTGGGTAGATCTGGGGAAAGGGGGAAGAGGAGGGGAAAGAAAATGTGCAACAATGAAAAACTTAAAACATTTTTTAAAAAGAATGAAAAAATTAAGATCTCTTTATCTGATAAAGATGTACAAGTTTACATGCCAATGGGGACAATTTTAGTCAATAAGCACAACTGAAATAAAAAAAGCAGTGATGGTGGATTTTTCACTATTCAAAATATGGGAATGGAACAACCATACCAGCTCTCACCACTCTTTCATTGACATAGTACTGAAAGTCCTAGGCTCTGAGCCAAGGCAACAAGACAAAAAAAGACATACAAATTGGAAAGAAAGAAATTAAACTGTGTCCCTATTTGTGAATGACAATTATCTGTATAGAAAATCCTTAGGAATCAATAATAAACTTCAGTACTAATAAATGAGTTCCTAAGGACACAAGACACAAGAAAATCAATCCTATTTTTACATATCCATGATGAACACTAAAGCTTAAAATGCAGTAGAATTTATAATCTTAAAAAATTTCCAGCAAGATGACGGACAAGGGAGACTGTAATCCAGGCCTTCCAAAACTGATGTTGTTGTTAGGTGCTATCAAACAATGACTCACAGCAGCCCTATAAACAAGAACTCTGGACTTTACACATCTCCAACACACTTGACCCCACTGCTACAGTCACTGTGTCAACTCAGCTTGTCAGGTGTCTTCTCTTGCACTGACCCTCCTCCTTCCCAAGTATGATATTCTTCTCCAACAATTGGTCCGTCTTAACAACATGCCTAAAGAATGTGAGATGGAGTTTCACTGTCTTTGCCTCCAAGGGGTACCCTTGATTTCACTTTAGATGTGTTTGTTTTCTCAGCAGTCCATGCGCTGTTCAATGCACTTCTTCAGCACCACAATTCCAAGGGACTAATTCTTCTGTCATCCTTAGTCACTGTCGAGCTTTCAAATGCATAGCAAGCAATTAGAAAAGACCATGGCTTGGATAAGACACAACTTACTTAGTCTTTAGACTGACATCATCTTTAGCACTCTGGAGAGGTCCTTGACAGAAGAGTTTCCCAGTGGAACTCATCTTTAGATTTCCTGAATGCTAGCTTGGCAGGGTGGAGGGTCAGTGCAGGAGAGGGAGACCCTAGACGAGATGGATTGACACAGTGACGTGGCAATAGGACAGGTGTGTCAGAGATGGAGAGGTTAGCTCAGGTTAAGCCAGGGTTCAGAGCCATTGTTCAGAAGGGCATTGTTCATGAGTCATAGTTGATTCAAAGGCACACAACTACCAGGTAAGAGGAAGAGGAACTTATAATTATTACTGAATTTCTGTTAAGGGTGAAGAAACAATTTGGAAACAGCAGTCATATCTGTACAAAACTGGTGAAAGTCATTAATGTCACTGAATTGTACATATTGAAAGTGTTGACCCTTCAAATATACCAATCAGGAATGGAAGAAAATGTTGAAAAGACAAATGTTTCATTTTATATTCTTTACACAATGAAGAAAATTATTTCAAAGAAGAAGATATAGGTTGAATAAATTTAAATTTAATGAAGTAAGTTTACCCAGTGAAACCTATGTGGCTGCTCTTTTTTGTTGTTTTTTTTTTTTACTTTTAATGAAAGTTTACAGAGACTTAGGGTTTCCAGTCATTCATTGTTGCACTTTTCTCCCTGCCCATCCCCTGCTCCATCACTTTTCTCCTTGATAAGTAAAAGAAAAATTCTTTCATTGCTATGCAATCCCTCCCCCCAAGTCCACTGCACTGTGCAGCCTTTATTCTGGACTCCTGTTACAAGTCCACTGCACTGTGCAGCCTTTATTCTGGACTCCTGTTACAACAATAATACCTAATCATATATCCCTTTTAAACAGTTCTCTCCCTCATCTGTTGCAATGCAGTATACATCATTCCTCCCCTTCTTCTCTGTCTTCTCTCAACCCCAATGTCAGTCCTGTTTTACAATAGTGGCCCTATGTAATATTTATCCTTTTGTGACTGAGATATTTCACTCAGCATAATGTCCTCTAGGGTCATCCACTTTGCATAATATTTCATGAGTTCCTTGTTTTTCAGTGCTGCATAGTAGTCCGTTATGTGAATATACCAGAGCTTCTCTATCCATTCATTTGTTGATGGGCACTTGGGTTGTTTCCAGCTCTTTGCTATTGCAAACAAATCTGCAATAAACATGGGTGTGCATATATCTGCCTGGGTGGTGGTTATGGTTAGGGTAAATTCCCAGAAGTGGAATTGCTGGCTCAAATGGTATTTCTATTTGCAACCTTTTGACAAAGCATCATACAGCCTTCCATAGTGGTTGTGCCATTTTACACTCCCACCAATAGTGAATAAGGGTTCCAGTTTTTCTGCGACCTTGCCAGTATTTGTTGTTCGCTGTTCTGTTCAATTTTGCTATTCTTACTGGAGTGAGATGATATCTCATAGCTGTTTTGATTTGCTAGAGATTTTGGACATTTCTTCATGTGCTTGTTTGCCATCTGAATGTCTTCTTTGGTGAAGTGTCTGTTCATATCCTGTACCCATTTTTAAATTGGGGTGGCTGCTCTTAAGTGAAATGACTGGGTGCCGTTGAGTTAGCTTCCACTCCTGTTGTTGTTAGGTGCCGTCAAGTCGATGATGCAACAGCCCTATGAACAACAGATCAAAGCCTTGTCCTGTCCTGCGCCAGCCTAATGATCTCTGCCTTACTCAAGCCCACTGTTACCATTACTGTGTCAGTCCATCCCTTTGGGGGTTGTCCTCTATTTTGATGACCTTCCATCTTTCCTAGCATGATGTCTGTTTCCAAGGACTTACTATTGTTGTTGTTACATGCTGTCAAGTTGCCTGCAACCCATAGCGACCCTATGTACAGCAGCTCTGAAGACTGAGTCAGTGTCACTGATTCCGACACGCCTACCCTCATTGTCCCAGTTATTGTATCAATCCATCTGATCTGGGGTCTTCCTCTCCTGCACTGTCCCTCCACCCTTCTAAGCATGATGTCCTTCTTTAAGGACTAGTCCCTCCTGGCCACGTGCCCAGAATATATGAGAAGGAGCTTCAAAATCTTAGCCTCCAAGGAGAAACTTGGTTTCACCCTCTCCAAGACAGACCTGTTTGTTTTCTTGACAGTCTATGGTGTGTTCAAGACTCTTCTCCAGCACCACAACTCGAAGGCATCGATCTTCCTTCTGTCCTCTTTAATCATGTCCCACTTTCTGATGCATAGCAAGTAATTGCAAAGGCCATGGCCTGTATCAGGAGCACCTTAGTCTCTAGGCTGACATCGTTGCTTTTTAGAACTCTGGAGAAGTCCCTGACAGCAGATTTTCCCAATGCAATTCTTCTTTTGATTTCCTGACTGCTGGTGCAAAGAGTGTGGATTATGGATCTGAGCAATCTGTAAGTGTTAATAGCCTCAATCTCTTCTTCACCTATCAAGGTGTGGCCAATTGGCCCTGTGGTTAGAATCTTTGTGTCCTTATATACAGCAGAAAGAAACCTTGCCCAGTCCTGAATTTTCACACTCCTGCTGTTTTAAGTCCACTACTGTAGCCAGTATATCAATTGTCTCCTTGAGGAGGATATGATAGCAGTGAAAGTCAACAGGATTATAGGCATCTCTATGTCAACTCCTTTTGCTGTTAGTCAGAACCAACTCATAGCTGACCTTCTGCTGGCTTCCGAGGCTGTAAATAGCCTGGGAGGAGTTTGTCCATCTTTCCCACGTGGAGTTGCTGCTGGATCCTAACCACCAGAGAGGCAGAGTTTTTAGGTTCTCAGCACAATTTCCTACAGACTACACTGCTAGAGTTCCCTGTCCAGGATGCAGTAAGTGGAAAAGCAGGATATTTCTACAATGCATAGGAATAAGTACGCAAACCTCTATAAACCTATAGAAAAAGACTGGGAAGATATGTATAAGAAACACATTAAGTTTGGAGAGCTCTGGTGGCGTGGTGGTAAGGAATTGTACTGCTAATGCAAAGGTATGTAGTTCAAATCCACTAGAGCTTTTCCAGAGGAGAAAGATGGGGCATCTCCTCCTGTGTGGGTTACAGCCTCTGAAAACCCAGAAGGTCAGCTATGGGTCAGTTCTGACTGGACAATATGCAACAACCACAATATAGAGCCTACAAAATGGTGTGTGAGAGTAAAAGAGGGCTTTACTTTCTCACTGATAGGATTCTTTACAAAGAAAAAAATGTATTTTTCTGTTTTTAAAGATGAAAGGAAAGGATAAAATGAAAATTGTCTAGTAAAACAAGAGTGCAGGAGAGAGGTGCGCTGTCAGACACCTTACCTTCTGAGAGGCAGGTTGTCAGCATAGGTCTTGTTGACAAAATCTGTCAACTGAAATTTGGGGCAAGAAGTTCTGTCTTCGCTGCAGCCTTCAGAGTGCACAGAGAGAAGCTGCTCGCTCAGCACCTTCAGCACGCGTGGGTGGGGCACGTCCCGTGCTGTGCAGAAGTTGAGGGCGGCATACAACACACCCTCCAGCCACTTGATATCGAGCATTATGCCCCCTGCACATCAACGAAAAGGTAAATACGAGTTAGCCAGGGTGCGTATTATTTGCAGGGAGCTGAGGACAGATCCCAGAGCGTGAACAGCCTCTTTCATCCCGAGATAAGCTGAGTTTAAATAGCCCTCCTTCCAAGGCCAACAGCTTATTTCTGCTTTTTACAGCACATTTTCACCACTGGCCCGATAGGCAACACAACGACAGAAAAAAGACTGAAACTGTTAAGGACTTCATCTTCGTTGGATCCACAATCAACACCCTTGTATGAGTAGTTAGGAGAACAGGAAATGTATTTTACTGGGACAGTCTGCAGTCAGAGACCTCTCCAAATTATTAGAGTAATTTGATTATTATTTGATTAATCTAGTAATTAGTAGAGTAACTGATGTCAGTTTGAGGACTTGACTCAGGCCAGGTTCTTTTCAAGTATGTGCTATGCATCTGAGAGTTGGACAATGAATAAGGATGACAGAAGAATTGATGCCTTTGGATTGTGGTGTTGGAGAAAAGTACTGAATCTCCATGGACTGCCAAAAGAATAAATATATTTTGGTGAAGGTGCAGCCAGAATGCCCCTTGGAGGCAAACGTGATAAAGCTTCATCTCACATACTTCGGGCATGTTGCTAGGAGAGGCTATTCCTTGGAGAGGGACATCATGCTTGGAAAGGTGAAGAGTCGGTGAAAGACAGGAAGCCCCTCATCCAGGTGGACTGACACCGTGACTGCAGCAATGGGCTCTGGAGGGTCAGGGGTGATGAGGATGGCACAGGATAGGACAGGGTTCAGATCTGTTGTTCACAGGAGAGCTACGGGTTATACTTGACTCAGCACCTAACAAGAGCACCTAACAAGTGTCTCAGGAGGACACTTCCGACCAATGCAGGCATTGCTAATGGAAGGAGTTCTGTAGAACAGTCCTTGCCACGAGGAGGAGGAACCAGGGAAACGGTAACGTTAGAACAGTGCAAAGGCATTTTCATCCTAGACATCGCATCCTCTTCAGAGTTTGTTATATTTACCTCCTCTAATTTTCTTGTTTATCCTTAAAGGGTCCAATAATGAGGTTTCTCCGCTCTCTCTAATAAAGGAAGAGTTTACTACAAAATGTTGTTCTCATATAACATGTGAATTACTGAGAATATACCCAGCTCAGGCTTACCCTCCTCCACTCTCTCCACCACGCACACTGGGGTCTGATCAGATAGCAACAGTCTGGGAAGAAAGTAATTTTCAAGAGTGTTTCCACAAACCATGGTGGACCATTACCAGCAGGACTGTAGGGGCAAGTGGCCCGAAGAATCGCAGGATCTTGGAGAGCCGCTGTGATTTCCATATTAGCCCCCCAGATGTTATCTGACTTCTTAACACACTGATAGTGAGGCCGCAAGATACTGGTGTGGTTCAGCAGTAACTTCAGCCTGGAAGTAAACCCACCAAGACAGATGCAGTATCAGTACTGGCAGAAACAATGAGACAAGCCGCCCTGTTCACATCCAACCCAGCCATGGGCTCTGCTGCACAGGGGCAAACACAGGTGTCCAAGGAGGGGACTGTTTAACAGTGAACTGCTCATCCGTCCACCTAACAAACACATACTCAACATTGTGTCCCAAGCACTGTAGTTGTCATTAAGTGGTTTACTATTTGTGATGAATTGCTCTCTTGCTCCCGTGGCCTAGGAGGGAGCCAAACTTTGCTTACCCAAAGTCTGGCTCCACCAGCAGTTCCACAGGAGGAAAATGAGCTATCTGCTCCCGTACAGTTTAGATGCAGCCCTGGAAACCCACGGGGGGGGGGGGGGGTCAACTCTGGCTCAGTCCCAACTCAACAGCAATAAATAAGCAGAACAAGTCAGCTTTCAGGAAGTGCCCCTGCTGAGCACTAGAGGTTTCCTTTCTCCCTCTGCACAGGGGAGCATGAGTCAGCTTTAAGGTTTTTGGGGTTTGTTTTTTTTTTAATTTTTATTATTTATGTGTGTGAGTACCGTCAAATCAGATTTGACTGGTACAGGAGGAGGAGGAGACTGTTCCTCCCTCTCCAGCAGAGCATCTGGTGGATTTGAACCGCAGCTTTAAGGTTTTTAAAAACTAATTGCCATCAAGTAAGAAACCAATTCATAGCTGCTCCCCCCTACCCCCATTGATTTCCAAGCCTGCAAATCGCACAGGAGTAGACTGCCCATCTTTCTCCAGAGGAGCTGCTGGTAGACTCGATCTCCCTGAGAGGTGTGGCCTTCAGGTTAACAGCACCACATCCTAAGGACTAGGCGACCAGCTTCACATAGTGAGAGACAGTGTTGTCTTGTGATGCTAAACATTTACACATCAAAGAAAATGTCCCACCAATAAGGGGTGTTCAAAATTAGAAGGACTACCTGGGTCCTTTGGCAAAGAAATCATCCAACTTATTGGAACTGAGCAAGCCCAAGAAGAAGGGGGGGAAGGGGGGTGTGCAGAAGGGCCATTTCAATGGGTTATGTCCTCCTCCTAACGTGATACCTGGGTACAGGGATGGCAGTTACCAAGCTGTACACAACGCAGGTTTTCGTAAGTTGTCTTTGAATTTCTACACAGATACTGGGCAGCTGGGCTGGTAGGCAGCAGAGGAATACAACATTGGCCCAAGTTACCAGGTGAGTGTTTTGGTAAAAGCATTGGATTCCCAATTCCTGGAACTCTCCTGTGAGGAAGAGAGGGCGAAAGAAGAGATGCACAGTCGTGGATGGAGGGTGGTCATTTTACCTCAGTAAATCAACCTAAGTCCTGAACCCATGTCCTTCAGAAGACATCCCCATGCTTTCTACAGTGGTAGTGTTCCCACCCCACTGCTATAGCAGCTGTGCCACTACAGCTGTGCTTGAGATTATAAAGTCATCCTCATGTGGCATCCACTTCATAAACAACATGCCTCTGAAAAGTTTATGAACTTTGATAAATGTTGAGCGTTGGAGAGGGGCTTCAGGCCTTTTGTTCGTAGGATCACCATGAGTTCTGTTTGACTCAAAGGCCATCAACAACAGCATCTTACTTTTAGGTCAAATGCTGAACTTTCACAGTTTATTGCTTTCTTTTTTTAAAAAAAAAAGTTTTCTTTTGATTTGAGTGGAAATTTCCAAAGCAAACTGGTTTTCCAGTCAACAATGCATATGTACTTTGCTTGCAATCCCCACAATATAATCCCATTCTTTCTACTTTCGCCCTGCATTTCAGTTTCCATCGCCCTTCATTCCTGTCCCTTCTTAAGGTCTGAACTTCATCTCTGCACAAATGCTGCTCTTTCTGATTTTGTATGGTTGACTGTCCAATGTTCACCTCATTAACACGACTCAGCTCACTGCCATCGAGTGGGAAGCAGCTCACAGCCGGCCCTCCAATGTGTTTCTAAGGCTGTAAATCTAATGGGAGGAGACTGTTCATCCTTTGAGCTGTGGGTGGATTTGAACCACCAGAACCTTTGGGTGCAGTAGGATGCAGAACTTTGTGTGGACTGTTCTGCCACTTGACCTTGATGTCTTCCAGAGTATGGTCCTGAGCCCTGAATCATGGCAGCTCCTTCCCTCAAGGTGTTTGAAGACTTTATAATTTGCTCAATTTTATTCATGAATAGATTCTAGCTTATGTTGGACAGTGGATAAGGAAGATCAAAGAAGAAGGCATATCTTTGCCCTTGGGTTATCAGGACAACTCCTTATTCACTAGGCTACCAGGGCTCTCTGAAGTGATGTCTTTGAACTGTGACATTGGCCAAGAATATTGAATATCCCATGGACTGAAAAAAAAATCTGTCTTGGAGGAAGTGTTACCAGGATGCTCCTTACAGATAAGGTGGTGAAACTTCATTTCAAATCCTTTAGGCATATTGTCAGGGAGTGTCATTCCTTGAAAAAGGACATCATCCCCAAAGAAACCATAACCGCCTACCAAGCAGACATGCACACCCATGTTTATCACAGCTTTGTTCACAATAGCAAAGAGCTGGAAACAACCTAAGCGTCCATCAACAAACGAATGGATAGAGAAGCTGTGGTATATTCACACAATGGAATACTACGCTGCTTTGAGAAACAAGGAACTAACGCAATATTATTCAAAATGGGTGACCCTGGAGGACATTATGCTGAATGAAATACCTCAGACACAAAAGGACAAACACTGCATAGTACCACTGTTGTAAAATGGGACTGACATCAGGGTTGTAGGGAGACTGAAAAAGATGGAAAAAATTATGTATACTGAATTGAAACAGATGAGAGAGAGAAGAATTTAAAAGGGATCTATGATTAGGTATTATTGTCATTGACAGGAGTCCAGAATGAAGGCTGCATAGTGGAGTGAACTTGGGAGGAGGGATTGTTTAACAATGAAAGAATTTTTCTTTTACTTTTCAAAAAGAAGAATTAACTGGAGGGTCGGGGTGGGCAGGGAGAAAGTGCAACAATGAATGAATGGAAATCTAAAATCTCTGTGAATATTCATTAAAATTAATAATAATAAAAAAGAAGAAGGACATCATGTTGGGAAAAGTACAGTGTCAGTGCAGAAGAGGAAGACCCTCAGAGAAATGGATTGACGCAGTGGCTACAACAATGAGCTCGAGTATGGGAGAAATACCCTGGGTATATGTCACTCAAAATATCAAATGACATCCTTTAAATATGTGTAGTTTATTGTTTGGGTTTTTTTAATATTTTTTGTATTTGTGTGTGTGTACCATCAAATCAGATCTGACTGGTACAGGAGGAGATTGTTCCTCCTTCTCCAGCAGAGCATCTGGTAGATTTGAACCGCACACCTAAATATGTGTAGTTATTTGTAAGCAGAGTATATCTTAATGAAGCTGTGTCTATTCTTTGACCTACTAAGTTTATTTTTATAGTTATGCATGGAAAATTAAATATAAGTAAGTTTCAATGATATATAAATTATGATATGGCCATCTTCCAGAATACCATGTCATAATTACATAGATTATGACATGTGTCCATATCTGGAATATTATATGGCCTTAAAAGATTTCCTTTGAAGAGGTTTAAAGTTTATGAAAATAAACTTATCATAAATAATTGGGGGAAAAGAATACAAACAACTATGTACCATACGTGCCATACAGGGAGCTCTGGTGACTTAGTGGTAAAGAACTGTGCTGCAACTGCAAAGGTATGCAGTTCAAATCCACCATCAACTCTGCAGGAGAAAGAGGGGCAGTCTCCTGCTATGTGATTTACTGTCTTTGAAAAACTGCTGGAGGCTCAGCTATGGGTCGGTTCTGACTGGACAGTACACAACAACAATGCAATTTATATCAATTTTGTTGTTGTTGTTATTGTTATGTGCTGTTGAGTTGACTATGACTTGTAGAGACTCTGTGCACAATAGCTCTGAACCTTGCTCTATCCTGAGCAAATCTGTATCTGACACACCTAATACTATTACCCCAGTTACTGTGTCAATCCATCTCATCCAGGGTCTTCCTCTCCTGTATTGTCCCTCGACCCTTCCAAGCATGATATCCTTCTCCAAAGACTGGTACCTCCTGGTTACATGCCCAAAGTATATGAGATAGATTCTCAAAATCCTTGCTTCCTGGTTTCATCCTCTCCAGAAAAGACTTGTTAGTTCTCTTGTCTGTCTATAGTATGTTCAATACTCTCCGCTAGCACCACAACTCAAAGGCATCAATTCTTCTTCATCCTTGGTCATTATCCAGCTCTCTGATGCAGGGCAAGTAGTTGTGTAGATCATGGCCTGAATCAGCACACCTTATTCTCTAGACTGACACCCTTGCTCTTTAGCACTTTAGAGAGGTCCCTGATTACTGTGGTGGTGGTATTGTTATGTGCTGTCAAGTGGTTTGTGATTCATAGCAACCCTATACACAACAGCTCTGAACTTTGCTCTATCTTGGGCCAATCTCACTGTCTCTGATACACATTCTCCCATTTCCCCAGTCACTGAGTCAATCCATATTATCCAGGGTCTTCCTCTCAAGAAAGACCTTTCCAAGGGTGATGTCCCTCTCCAAGGACTGGTTCCTCCTTGCAACAAGCCCCAAGTATGTCAGATGAAGCTTCAAAATCCATGCCTTCAAGGAGCAGCCTGGTTTCACCCTCTCTAGGACAGACCTGTTTGTTCTCCTAGCTGGCCTTTCAATACCCTTCTGCAGCACCACAACTCAAAGGCATTGATTCTTCATTTATCATCCTTAGTCATTGTTCAGCTCTCTGATGCCTAGCAAGTAATTGTGAAGACCATGCCTGGATCAGGGGCACTTTAGTCTCTAGACTGACATCATTGCTCTTCAGTACTCTGGAGAGGTCCCTGACAGTATATTTTCCCAATGCAATTCAGCTTTCGATTTCCTGGCTGCTGGTACCAAGAGTGTTGATTGTGGAGCTCAGCAAGCTGAAGCTATGAACAATCTCAATCTCTTCACCATTTATCATGATACTGCCAATTGGCCGAGTGGTGAGAATCTTTGTTTTCACAATGCTGAGCTTCAATCCTTATTGAAGGCTACAGTCCTTGATCTTCTCCAATAAATGCCTCAGGTCCTCATCCATGTTGGCAAGTAAAGCTGTGTCATCTGCATAACACAGGTTGTTGATGAGTCTTCCTCCAATTCTGATGCACATTCCTCCTCACAGAGCCCAACCTCCCGAATGATCTGTTTGGAGATAAACTGAAAAGGTATGGAGATAGGATGCATCCCTGGCATATACCATTTGTGATTTTGAACCATGCAGTGTTTCCTTGCTCTGTTCTGAGGACTTCCCCCTGGTCCAAGTATAGGTTTTGCATAAACACAATCAAATGTTCTGGGATTCCCATTCTCCTCAGAGTCAACTATGGTTTGTTGTGATCCACACAGTCAAATGCCTTTGCATAGTCAATGAAACACAGACAGACATTCCTCTGGAACTCTTAAGATCTAACATTAGCTATAATATCCCTAGTGCCATGGCCTCTTCTAAACTCATCCTATACATCTGGCAGTTCTCTGTTGATACACTGTTCATGTAATATACATCAATATATATAGATCTCTATACTGAGAGAGAGAGATAAACCTAGATCTCTGTGTATATATATCAATATATGGTGTGGAAAGAAATCATAACCCTGGTAAGAGGATTCTAGAAACTTATTATTTTATTCATAACTTACATTTGCACAATTGAAGTATAATTTACATACAATGGAAAAACACAGATCTGAAGTATGGGATTTGATCTATTGTGACAAATTTATACACTCATGTAACCCACAACTCTTTCAAGACAGAATACGTCAAACTCTCCAGAAAGTTCCCATGGTTTCCCTGGGACCAAACATTGTTCAAATTTCTATTACCATGTTTTTGTTCTGTTATGTGCCATTGAGTCATAGCGACCCTATGTATGTACAGCAGCTCTGAACCCTGCCCTGTCTTGAGCCAGTTTCACTGACTCCAACACACCCACCTCTATTGCCCCAGGTACTATATCAATCCATCTCATCAGGGATCTTCCTCTCCTGTCCATCCACCATTCCAAGCATGATGTTCTTCTCCAAGAACTGATTCCTCCTGGCTATGTGACCAAAGTATGTGAGATGGAGCTTCAAAATCCTAGCATCCAAGGAGAAACTTAGTTTCACCCTTTCCACAACAGACCTATTTGTTTTCTTGGCAGTTCATGGTATGTCCAAGATTCTTCTCCAGCAACAAAATTTGAAGGCATCAGTTCTTCTTCTGTCATCCTTAGTTATTGTTCAGCTCTCTGATGCATAACAAGTAATTGTGAAGACCATGGCCTGGATTAGGCACACCTTAGTCTGTAGACTGACAATGTTGCTTTTCATTATTCTGGAGAGGTCCCTGACAGCAGATTTTCCCACTGCAATTCATCTTTTGATTTCTTGACTGCCGGTGCCAAGAGTGTTGACTGGGGAGCCAACAAACTGTAACTATTTACAACTTCAATATCTTCTTCATCCGTCATGGTGCTGCCAATTGGCCCAGTGGTAAGAATCTTTGTCTTCTTGATGTTGAGCTTCAATTCATATTGAAGACTATAGTACTTGACCTTCTGCAGCAAATGCTGCAGGTCCTCTTCAGTTTCAGCAAGCAAGTGTGTCATCTGCATAACGTAGGTTCTTGATGAGTCCTCCTCCAATCCTGATGCCATATTCCTCCTCATAAAGTCCTGCTTCCCATATGATCTGCTCTGTATATAGATTGAAAAGGTGTGGAGACAGGATGATCCCTGATGCACTCCTTTCCTGATTTTGAACCATAAATGAATAAAACTCATAATTCATTATAAACTTTAAAGCATCCTAAATTCTATTTTTTAAAAAACATAAGACCAAATATTTGATCCATTTAATAGTCAAGTTAGAAGATTTATCTCTTTTTTTGAAAGTTTCTCTGTATCAAAGACCTAGAAAGCTTTTTCGCTACAAAGGGTACACAGAGGAGGAAGGGATATAAAACATTTAAGAGGAGATGGAAGTTGCTCTAAGAAATACATTCATCTTTAAAAGACATCAGGTATCAGAAAACATGGCAGAGTAGGAAGCTCCAGAAATCAGTCGCTCCAAAGGAATAAGTATTGAGCTGACAGAAACTGTCTGAATCAATTACTTAAAGTCTAGTCAGTTACTTCCAGCACTCAAAGGAGAGACTGAAGATGATCCTGGAAAATTTGGGAGAATTTCACTGTTTAGTACAGCACCTACCATCCCCACCACCTCAAAAGTTTAGGCATAGAATCTCCATGTTGTTGTTGTTGTTGTTATGTGCCGTCAAGTCACCTGAGACTCAGCGACCCTATGTACAATAGCCCTAAACTCTGCTCTATCCTGTGCCAAGTTTATTTTCTCTGACACACCTACCCCCTTTACCCTAGTGACTGAATCAATCCATCTTACCGAGGTTCTTCCTCTCCTGCGTTGTCCCCCCACTCTCCCAAGAATGACGTCCCTCTCCAAGGACTGGTCCCTCCTTGCAACATGGCCAAAATATGTCAGATGAAGCTTCAAAATCCTTGTCTCCAAGGAGCAGCCTGTTATCACCCTCTCGGGGACAAACCTGTTTGTTCTCCTAACAGTCCATGGTATATTCAATACTCTTCTCCAGCACCACAGCTCAAAAGCGTTCATTTTTCTATCATCCTTAGTCACTGTCCAGCTTTCTGACACATAGCAAGTACTTGCAAAGACCAAGGCCTGAATCAGGTGCACTTTAGTCTCCAGACTGACATCGTTGCTCTTCAGTACTTTGGAGAGGTTTCTGACAGCAGACTTTCCCAATGCAATTCATCTTTTAAGTTCCTGGCTGCTGTTATTGTCATGTTGTTGTTGTTGATTGCCATTGAGTCGAACACAACTCATAGCAACCCTATGAGTAAAAGGCCTGAAGCTCCTCTATAACTATCAACATTTATCAAAGTTCATAGGGTTTCCAGAGGCATGTTATTTAGGAAGTGGATGTGATCCAGCAATTCCACTCATAGCTACGAACCCAGAACACCTGAAAGCAAGAACTCAGATGCTTGTATACTAATGTTCACTGCAGCATTGTTTTGGCAACAGCCAAAAAGTGCAAACAATACAAGTGTTCATCAGCCAACGAATGGATTCAAACATAAGAAAACTCAATCCACAGCTCTGAGTATAATCTGACTCATAGAGACCCTTTATTTGGTTTCTGAAGCTGTAAATCTAAGTGGGAAGAGACTGGTGGTTGATGGATTCAAACATGCAGCCTTTTGGCAACACACTGCAGACTATAGGGCTAGAGCGCCAAGTATTCAATCATAAAGAGAAACTCAATTCTGATGGATGCTGGGTGAACCTTGAAACTTTGCTAAGAGGAATAAGTCAGACACAAAAACATCGACTGCACGATCTCACTTATAGCAGGTATCTTCTTGTTAGTTGCCATTGAATTAATACCAGCTCATAGGAACCCTGTGTACAACAGACAAAGCCTTGCACTATTCTGTACCATCCTCAGGCTCTCTGCTGTGTTTAAGCCCATTGTTGCAGTCACTCTATCTACAAGAGGCAAATTAAAAAAAAAAAAAAAGAGGCAAATTCAGTGACAAAAAAGTAGATCAGAGGTCACTAATGGCTGTGGACTGATTCAGGCTATGATCTTTTCAGTCACTCACTATGCACTGAGAGCTAGACAATAAATATGGTAACAGAAGAACAATTGATGCCTTTGAAGTGTGGTGTTGGAGAAGAGTGTGGAGTGCTGAATGTCTCAAGGACAGCCAAAAGAACAAACAGATACGTCTCAGGGAATGTGCAGCCAGAGTGCTCCTTGGAGGCAAAGATGCTGAAGCTTCATCTCACATACTCTGGGTATGTTGCTACAAGAAGCTATTCCTTGGAGAGGAACACCATGCTTGAAAATGTGGAGCGTCAGCAAAAGAGAAGAAGACCTTCAACCAGGTGGGTTGACATGGTGACTGCAGCAATAGGCTTGAGTGTGTCAGAGATTGTGAGGATGGCATGGGACAGGACAATGTTCAGATTGATTGTTCACAAGGCCACACAATGTGTCATCCTCAACTCAACAGCACTTAGCAATAACAAGAAGAACTGTGAGGAGGGCAGAACGAGGAGTTGTTTAAAGGAGAAAAAAGGTTCTATTTGGGATAATGAAAACACTCTGAAAATAAATAATGGTGATGAGTATACAATATTTGGAGCACACCTAATGCTACGATGGTTAAACTGTATTATATCATTTACTATAATCATATTTTTAAAAATTTCTAGCTTTTCTCAGGGCAGAAATGTCAAACCCTTCATGCTGCTGCAGGCACTTCTATCAAAGGACTGCTTCAAAATAGCCTGGTCAAGACCTACACAGCCGCTCAGATCCCCCCTTCCTACCACACTCTGCTGCTCACCCAGGACCTCTGGCCTCCGTGTGGAGATCCGCAGGCTGTCAGTGGGGACGGGGACAAGCTGAAGCAGTACACGAGCCAGCTGCTTCCCGAGGTGGCCACCTCCGATGATGCCCACATTGACTTTCTCAGAGGACACAGGTGAACTTCCAGAGCTTTTATTCTCTTGCAACGATTGACTGTAGAACAAAGGGCCAGAGTTATGAGTACATGTGCACTCTGTGGCCCATGTGTGGCAACCTCTGGCCTCAGCTTTAGCTGCCACAAAACCCGTTGAAGTTATATGCCACGCACCCGGCACCACCTGGGAGTGAAATGGTCTTCTGAGTTTTCTGGAAACTGAAGCACACAAATTTCTAAAAGACCTTTCTTAAAGGAACATTTTTATAATCCATTTATATATAATCGAAACCAGCCTGCTCCTTGGAGGCAAGGATTCTGAGGCTTCATCTGACATACTTTGGGCACGTTGCAAGGAAGGACCAGTCCTTGGAGAGGGACGTCATGTTTGAGAGGGTAGAGGGATAAGCACAAGAAAGGAAGACCCTCTAAGAAGTGGATTGATTCAGTGACTAGGGTAATGGGGTAGGTGTATTAGAGACAGTAAGGTTGGCACAGGGTAGAGTAGGGTTCAGAGCTGTTGTATATAGGGTCGCTGTGAGTCGCAAGCCACTTGATGGCACATAACAACATTTCCCTCCTTAAACCCAAGATGTGAATGCTTAATATCTTGACCCAAGGCCATCAGAATAAACAACCAGTGTCATACAATATCATATTGTACTATAGGACAACTGTTGGCTGAATGTTTCCTTCATATTTTTTTTTTACAGACAGCTGTCAGTTCTCTTTGCTGTCAAGATGATCCCACCCTTTCCCCCTCATAATGCCTACTCTTTCTGGTTTTCTGTTTCAGTTCTGGTTTTATTTGGAAAATGAGAAATCTTTGCTTTCTATGAATGTCATGATTTATTTAAAAATGTGTGAACAAAAACTGACCTGAGAAACTTAGGGTGAAGGTTTGAAGACACTCATTCCAGGGCTCATTCACTGTTGGTTCCAGGTGTATCCTCAGTCGAGATTAATGAAACCTGAACTCTGAATACACAAAGCATGCTTTTATATTGTTGTAAGAGAAACTTGTTGTTGCTATGTGCCATTGAGTCACCTGTGACTCATAGCAACCCTATGTACAATAGCTCTGAACCCTCCCCTGTCCTAAGCCAGTCTCATTGTCTCCGAAACACCTGTACCCCAAGACCCCAGTTACTGCATCACTCCATCTCATCTTGGGTCTTCCTCTTCAGTGCTGTCCCTCTACCCTTCCACGCATGATGTCTTTCTCCAAGAACTGGTCCCTTCTGGCCACGTGCCCAAAGCATGTGAGATGGAGGCTCAAGAGCGTAGCCTCCAAGGAGACACATATTTCACGGTCTCCAAGAGAGACCTGTTTGTTCTCCTGGTGGTACATGGTATGTTCAATATGTCCATGGTGTGTTCAGAACTCTTCTCCAGCACCACAACTCGAAGGTATTGACCTTTTTTCTGTCATCCTTAGTCCTTGTCCAGCTCTCAGATGCACAGCAAGGACAGTGGCCCGGATCACGTGTCACCTTAGTGTCTAGACTGACATCATTGCTCTTCAACACTCTAGAGAGGTCTGTGACAGCAGATTTCCCTACTGCATTTTGTCTTTTGATTTCCAGACTGCTGGTGCCAAGGGTGTTGGTTATGGACCCGAGCAAGCTGAAATTGTTAACAACCTCAAGAGAAACTTAATGTATGTGTTATGTTTCTACAAGATTCGGAAGCTTAAAATTCTGGTATTTCCTTATGAGCACCGCAAGTCAATTTATAGTTAAAGCTTCTCTTCTGGTTAAAAGGAGAGACTTTCCTCTCAGTGATTGGTCTTTTCAAATGTAAGTTTGCCACTCCCAAAAGTGGCAAACTTTGATTTCTTCTTATTACTCTAGGGTTACAGGTTATGGCATCTTTGTCCATGAGGCACTAAGCCCTCCAAGCAGCCTGCCTGCCTTAACAATTTCTCTAGTAAACCCCTTACTAACAAGGGGTTATGCTCATATACACCATGTTAAAAGAAGCCCTGGTGGTACTGATTAAGCGGCCAGCTGGTAACCAAAAGGTCAACGGTGCAAACATACCAGCTGCTCACAGAGAGAAAGAGGTGGCAGTCAGTTCTATAAAGATCACAACCCAGGAAACTGTATCAGGTAATTCTAGTCTGTTCTCCAAGGTTACTAGGAATTGGGACAGACTTGACGACAGTGAGCCCACAGGATATTAAATTCAGATTCCATCTCACCATCAGGGAAAAGTAAAGCGCTCTTGTGGCTTAGTGTGCTGCCAACCTGAAGGCATGGGGTTCGAATCCACCAGCTGCTCCGTAGGAGAAGGATGGGCAGTCTCCTCCGGTGTGATTTACCCCTCTGAAAACCTGCTGGAAGGTCAGCTATGGGTCAGTTCTGACTTGACTCAACTCAACAGCACCAAACTGAGAAATAAAAAGTGAGGAGGTGACCTGGTCATTTGTAAAAAGATGTCAGAAGCCAGGACCAGACAGACAACTTCTCTGTAAACCAGAATTCCTGGTCTTGAGTGGACAGTCTAGCCACTGAATCACCTTCGACCCTTGGTGACCTTCCTGTGAGGGACCGTTCTATGATTAGCTCTCCCCCAAAAGAAAGAGCCAATCCCATTTCCTGCCAGCCACAAGTCATCAGCAGCTGTGGAAGACAATCAGGTGGCTTCGATGAGTGGGTAAGTGAATCAATCACTCATTTAGTCAGTACACTCCTGCAAGGAAGTCATCACCAGCGTGTGTTTTATTACACACTAGGGGCCAAAGGCTCTGGGAGGGAGTTTTCCCGGCTCTCTCAGACCAAGAGTGGTTGCACTTAGAAGAGGCAGGAAGACACTGTTCCTGCTAACATTATTCTCCCAAATTAAAAGGTCAAGTCTTTTGGATTTTCTGAAGTCAGACTCATCTCCAGTTGCCTGACCTGGGAAAGCTGGTTACCTCAAGATGCTGAACAGCTTGCAGAAGAACGCCGCGTGAGCACAAGCTTCGATCATCAGACCCCGAGATCGGTCCTTCAGAAACAGCCAGGCCTCCTCTTCCTCTTGAATCTCATTTTCAACTTTCAGGGTCTTAAGGCCTTCTAGCAAGTCCATTTCCATGTAACTATCTCCTGCAGACAGACAGCAATTTAAAACAACAACAACAATCAACTCTTCCTTTCCCCCCACCAAGTTATTCCCCTCTACCACCTTCATCCATCTTCCTCCTCCACTCTTCTTCCCTCCCCGGACAAATACACATATTACTAGTTATCCTCATATTTTTACAACAATGGTATTATGCTGTATTTGTCCTTATGAAACTGAGGGTTGACTCAGTATAATGCTCTCTATCCTTTCCCATGTTATGTAGTGTTTTTCAAAATCACTGATCTGAGAGTTGTGTATTATTCCATTGTTTCATGTACCACAATTTCTCAATCCAGTCATTTATGGGCGAACATTCGGGGGTGAGAGACCAGTTCTTGGAGAAAGACATCATGCTTGGAAGGGTGGAAGGGCAGCACAGAAGAGGGAGGCCACGAATGAGATGGATTGATACAGGAACTGGGACAACGGTGGTAGATGTGTCAGAGACGGTGAGACTGGCTCAGGGCTGGGCGGGCTTCAGAGCTGCTGTCCAGAGGGTTCCAATGAGTTGTAGGTGACTTGATGGCACATAACAACAACAACCTGTGAGTAACTACTATAAACATCAGTGTACAAATCTCCGTTTGTGTGTCAGTTCTATTTTCCTTGGGGTATATTCCTAGCAATGGAATGTAGTTGTTGTTAAGTACTGTCAGGTTGGAACTGACCCATAACGGACCACTCTGGCAGGTTTCAGAAGTGGGTAATGACACAGGAGGTGACTGCCAATCATTCTCCCATGAAGTAGCTGGTGAATTCAAACTGCATGCCTTCATGATTACAGTGCAGCTTCCTGTCATTAGGCCACTAGGCCAACAGTGAATGTGGTGTTGTTGAGTTGAACAAACTCATAGCAACCCTATGAACAAAAGGCTTGAAGTCTTTCTATAACTATCATTGTTTATCAAAGTTCATAGAGTTTCCAGAGGCATGTTGTTTAGGAACGCCATTCCCAGTCAAATACAGTTGCATAAACTAGGCCACGTGCTGATTGTGGAACAGACTTTCAAGTACTCATATGCAAGTTCAAACTGAATCTACAGTAAGTTAAATCCAATCCATAAGAACCAAAGTTTGGCCTTGAGTTTATCCTTTCTCAATGTAAAGACCATCTCAGGAACAGGTTTGGGGCCTTGAATGCTAATGAGGAAAGACCAGAGGAGCTGTGGGTGGATGTCAAGAACATCATCCATGAAGAATGTAAAAGGTCATTACAGAAATGGAGAAAGAAGAAAAGACCAAGACGATGTCAGAAGAGACTCTGAATATAATGTCAAGAAGCCAAAGCTAAGGGAAGAAATCAAGAAGTTAGGGAGCTAAACAGAAGAATTCAAAGCATAGCTCAGAAAGACAAAGTATTACAATGAAATGAGCAAAGAGCTGGAGTTGGAAAATCAAAAGGGAAGAACTTACTCAGCATTTCTTAAGCTGAAAGAACTGAAGAGCAAATTAACGCAAGCTTCGAGTTGCAATACTTAAGGATATTGTGAGGAGAATGTTGAATGACCCAGGAAGCATCAAAAGAAGATGGAGAGTCACTGAGTTGTGGGTTTTTAAAACCATTTTTATTTATACCGGTTTATTTACAAAGTCCATATACACTGTTTTTCACACCGGATCTTTCCCATTTCCTTCACCCATCAATTTGTATGACCCTATGATTAACAATATCACCACTCCCGCTCCTGCCCATCCCCACCTCTCTGCTCCCACCCTCACCCCCTTGGATCCTCATACTAAAATAATGGTCTTATATAGTATTTGTCCTGTGAGACTGAGTGAGTTCACTTTGCAAAATGCTCTCCAGTCCCTCCCAAGTTAGGAAATAATATACAAAATCATTGCTCCGGCGTGCTGCATAGTATTCCATCGTGTCAATGTACCATAATTTCTCAAACCATTAGATTGTGGTTGGACAGTTGAGCTGTTTCCATTTTCTTGCGATGGTGAATAACGCTGCTATAAACATTGGTGCACAAGTGTCCATTTGTGTCTCAGTTCTCATTTTCTCAGGGTGTATTCCAAGCAGTGGAATAGCTGGATCAAATGGAATTTCTATGTTCAGCTTTTTGAGGAAGCACCAAACTGCCTTCCAGAGTGGTGACGGTTGTTAAGAATTGTTAAGAAGATGGAGAATCACTGAGTCAGAGGGTACACACAGTCACTGTACCACAAAGAATTGGCTGACACAGAAGAATTTCATGAAACAACATATGATCAAAAAGCAATGGTGATGAAGGCAGAAATTCAAGGTCCTCTGAAGGAATTGGAAAAAAACCCAAGGCCCCAGGAAATGACGGCAAACCAGTTGACTTATTTTAACAAACAGAAGCAACCACGGATGTGCTCACCAGGTTCTGCCAAGTAATCTAGAGTACTATCACCTGGCCACCTGACTGGAAGAAATCCATATTTATTCTCATTTAAAAAAAGAGGTGACCTGACAGAGTGTGGAAATTACAGAGCAATATCATTAACATGCAAATAAGATCCTGCTGAAGATTATCCAAAAATGACCGCAACAGCACATCAAGAGAGAACTACCAGATGTGCAAAAAGAGGCTGTGGCACTAGAGACATTATAGCCAATGTGAGATGGATCTTAGCTGGAAGCTGAGAGGACCAGAGGAATGTTTGTCTGTGTTTCATTGAGTTTCTAAAAGCACTAGACTGTGTGGATCTTAACAAACTGTGGCTAACCTTGAAGAGAATGAGAATCCTCAAACACTTAATTGTGCTTATGCGAAACCTTTACTTGGACCATGAGGCAGTCGTCAGAACAGAGCAGTGAAACACCTCATCTTTCAAAATCAGAAAGAGTGTACACAAGGGATGCGTCCTATCATTATACCTTTTCAATCTATATGCGAAACAGATCATCTGGGAGACTGGACTTCATGAGGAGAATTCGAGGAAGACTCCTCACCTGCATTATGCGGATGACACGAACCTGCTCTCTGAAACCGAGGAGAACCTGAGGCATTTTCTGGAGAAGGTCAAGGACTGCAGCCTTCAATATGGATTGAAGCTCAACATTAAGGAAACAAAGACTCTTACCATTGGGCCGATTGGCAGCATCATGATAGATGGTGGAGAGGCTGAGATTTTTAATAGCTTCAGCTTGCTTGGCTCCACAGTCAACACTCTTGGTACCAGAAGCCAGGAAATCAAAAGCTGATTTGCATTGGGAAAATCTGCTGTCAAGGACCTCTCCAGAGTACTGAAGAGCAACGATACCATGCTAGAGACTAAGGTGCCTCACGTTCCAGGCATAGTCTTCACAGTTACTTGTAATGCATCAGAGAGCTAAACAATGACTAAGGATTATCGAAGAAGAATCAATGCCTTTGGTTTGTGGTGCTGTTGAAGAGTATTGAACATACTACGGCCTGCTAAGAGAACAAACAAATCTGTCCTGGAGAGGGTGAAACCAAGTTGCTCCTTGGAGGCAAGGATTTTGAAGCTCAACTCACATACTTTGGGGATATTGCCAGGAGTGATCAGTTCGTGGAGAAGGCCATCATGCTTGGAAGGGTTGAGGGACAGCACAAGAAAGGAAGACTCCAGATGAGATGGATTTACTCAGCGACTGGGCTAACTGGAGTAGGTATGTCGGAGACAATGACATTGGCTCAAGATAGGGCACGCCTCAGAGCTGTTGTTCATAGGGTCACTATGAGTCACAAACAAGTCAATGGCACATAAAAACAAAAATAACATGGAAGTTCTATGCTCAGTTTTTAGATGAAATGCTAAACTGCCTTCTAGAGTGGTCGTACCATTTTATAATCCCACCAACAGTATATGAGAGTTCCAATCTCTCCAACAATTATTGCTTGCTGTCCTATTAAACTGTGCCATTTCTACTGGTGTAGGATCTCATTGTGGTTTTAACTTTCATTTCTTCTATTACCAGAGATTTTTTAAAGCATTCCTTCATGTGACAGGCAGCAAATCTATCCCCTGTCCAGGGTGAAGAGGATGTCTGCACACAGGGGGTATATATGTTTTGTGTGTGCAGACAGGTCAGAGTACACCCCCTCCTCAGATTCTAAGCCCAGAGATCTTTCATATGATTGATTCGTTAATCTCCTCCTCTGCCAGAGTGTGGGCCCTGGGGGTCTCTAAACACCACCCATGAGTCCAGAAGTGCAAAGTGGGGTGCCTACGAAACCTGAGCGGAAATCCACAGTAACGCACCTCCTCACCCGCTGCAGGCGTCTTAAAGAGGTGAATTTTCATGTACAATCAGTTTCACAGGTGTTTTGGGGCCTAGACTTTCTCCCCTCCAGATTGTGGAAAGTGAACACAGAGGTGAATGAATTATCTACACCTCTCACCTCCCCGGTGGAGAAGATCGGCTCTCTGTTTCCCAGTGCTTCCGCTTCGGGAGGTGACAATCCATTTCCAAGGAGAATTTCCCAAGAGAGTGTCATTGTGACTCTCCTTAGCTACCAGATCACTTCAACTTTTGAATCTTAAAGGGGCCAGCCCCACCCAGAGGGGTTTCCAATCTGCCAGAAGAGGACAGACATTTCTGAAGATTTCAGAGATCTCGGAATAGCCACGGACTGCCAAAAATAACAAACTGATACATATCTTGGAGAAGGTGCAGCCGGTGTTCCTTGGAGGGAAAGCTGATGAAGCTTCGACTCTACTACTTTGGACACGTTGCTAGGAAAGGCTACTCCTTGGAAAGGGGTACCCTGCTAGCTAGCAAAGGGGGAGGGTCAGTAAAGAGGATCCTCAACGAGATACACTGACACGGTGACTTCAGCAATGGGCTCTAGTGTGTCAGAGATGATGAGGATGACAGGATAGCACAGGGTTCGGGTCTGTTGTTCATAAGATTGCTAAAACTCATACACAAGTCAGTGGTACCTAACATCATCAGTACAATCAAGGGAGGACTCTAACACAGTCACTAGTACAGAGTCAGTGCTGACTCCTAGTGACAAAACCTCCCTCGGGTTTCCAAGGCTATAAATCATAATGGGAGGAGGCTGCCCTCCTTTCTCCCCTGGACCTGCTGGCAGATTCAAACCACTGGACTCTCAGCCTTTGGGTTAGCAGAGCAATCCACTAAGAACGATGCCATCAGAATACCCTAAGGGAGGACGGGACCCTCCTTTTCCCGCAATGTCCAGATTTCTAGATTTATTTTGCAGACAAATTTTACAGATTCACACAGATTTTAGCACTACTTAGGGAGTTAATTTTCCAATCCTTTAAGAGATCAATGGTGCCCGACCTCTTTATTGCATAGCAATGGCCAGATGGAAAGTAAAATTCAAGGTCACTATATCATCACACACAAGGAGTCCGTGTAAGTAACATACATGTATACACCTGGTGCACATAGGAGACACACAAGAGATTATTTGTGTAAGAATATGGTGCTAGTTCCCTAATCCCTTTCCTAGGCCTGTGTGCTACACTCAGAGCCCTGGGACATGAGGAGGTGCAGGGAAGTTCTCACGTCTCAGAAACAATTCCTTCCACAAAACAGCAGGTAGACCAGCCTAAGGTTCCAAGTCATACAGTAGGCCAGCCTTAGTTTCCTGTTCAGAGGAGCTCAAAACCTTCCACGTTGGCACAATCAGAGCAGGCCACACATAAAAGTGGACCCTAGGTCTGCCCTTCTCCAAGCTGGGATTCTGTTCTAATGGCTTGGCTTGAACTACAGTTCCCAGAATCCTCTGCTCTCTAGGTTTTCAGGTGGGGTGGATCACAAAACAAAATCTTTCTTGTTTGGGGCTTGTTTTGCTCTGTTGAGTTTTTCAGTGTCAGATTTGAAAGGTGAAAGTGAAGTGGCAGCCAGTTTGTGGTGATGCTTTGCCAGGGCAAGGACAGGCATTTTTGTAGTTCACAACCTTGCCATTCATCTGCTGGCAGGCAGCCTTGATGCTGTGGGGCAAACAGCTGGGCCTACAACAGCTACATCCTCTCTTAGATGCCCCTGTGACTTCTCAAGCTCCTGGGCAGGTGTGTGTTTACCTCCAGGACAAAGGCACCAGCTCCTCCTTCAGGACCCGCTCAGATTGGAGGCATACAGGTTCCAGTGTGCCCTCAGGGCTTCCAGCTGCCCTCCCCTCCCTCACTTTACATCCATCTTCACTTCCCTACGGCCTACCTTGTTGACTTCAAGTTCCACCTTCAGAGACGAAGGCAACTTAACAGGCTGTTCAACAATCCTCATACTTAATTAAGTAAGGTTATATCTCTCTCTGTGTAGCAAATTCTTATCAGATCATTATTGCTGAGTACTGGTGAGTTGAAACCAATGCATAGCTGACTCTCTAGGGGGTTTTCAGAAACAGTAAGTCACATGGGAGGAGACTGCCATCTTTCTCCTATGGAGCAACTGGTGGATTTGAAATGTGTACCTTTGGGTTGGCAGTGAACATCTTTCCCATATGAAAAGATAAAACAAACCCCAAACTCTTGGCCAATTGATTCCAACTCCTAACAACCATACAGGGTAGGGTGGTGATGCCCAGGTTTCCAAGGCTGTGGACTTTACAGAAGCAGGCTGTCCACCTTTCTACCACAGAGAGGCTGACAGGTTTGAACTTCCAACCATTCAGTTAGCAGGTGAGTGCTTAATTAGTGTGGCACCAGGGCTTCCTGGACTGGATGTGTGCACACGCACGCACCGACATGCACACGTTCCCCCACCACACCCACTGATGGTTCTGCTTCTCTGGAAGAGTCTTAATATACTTGTTCACAAAATTATCACTGTTTGTTCAGAGATCAGCCAGTAACTTTAAGAAGTTTCCTTAAGAGCAAAAAAGATGAGAACCAAATATGAAATTTCCCACAGTTGCAAAAGTCAAAACCTAAAGGATGGTGTCTGATTCCCTTAAAGCAGGCGTCTTCCAACCCCAGCCCTGATATTCTGGCCTGGAGAATATTTGTTGTAGGGGTTATCCTTTGCATTGTAAAATATTTAGAAGCAGCCCCAGCTTCTCTATATACATGTCAGTAGCACCACCTAGCGGTGACAAGCGTTTCCACACAGGCACAGAATTGTACAAGCTTAGAGGTTACCATGCTCTCACACTGCAGGTGAAGATGAAGAGGCCAGGAAAGGGTTCCCCCGGGACCACACAGCTCTACCGGCCACTAAGCAACATGACCACCAACAAGCTGTGTGTCTCTACTTCTCTAGACGCATCTCTGAACCTGTAGTCAGGGGCATGGTATTCTCTAAGCCTGTGGAGTTCTGTCATCCGAGAAGCCTGACCTTCAGTCTCCCAGCCCAGAGCTCCTTCTAATGAACCACACAGCCCAGCACGCTCACCAGCACCGTTACTCCGTAAGCTGACATGTTGACCGGCTGCTGAATCAGGCACTGAGGTAGAATTGCAATGGCTCTATCATTCCACATAAAAAATACAGGAGGGGAAGAGACGGCACCAAGAAAGAACCAGCTTTAATAGGAGTCTCAGTATGAGGAAACCCAATAGTCACAGAGAAGGGATTTAACACTGTACAGGGCCAGAAGTTAGCATTACAGAATAGCGTCTCAGTAACCAAGCAGGAAAAGGAAACCTCCACCTTGTTATCCTGAAGGTTAGAAACGTGGCTCAGTAGCCCAGGAGATCCTGAAGTATCTCACTAAGTGAGGTTTCACATAAAGACAGCGTGTTGATTCCACGCTCTTCGTAAGGTTGTGGGTCTGGAGTGAGAGAAGTCGTGGAAAAGGCAGCTGGTCTCATCATTCACTCCAGGTCACCTCAGTGTGCAGGTCAGAGAGCAACCATTTGTTTCTGGTCAGAGGATAAGTTGGGACGGGAGGGCCACTGGCTGAAGAAATACACTGTCCAGGCCATCTAGGTCACAACGTGGAGGACTGTTTGCAGTACAGCAAAGCTTGTCTCCCACAGGTCCTGGTAACGGTGGTCCTTTCCTGAGACCCCTGGATGGAGTCATTCACGTTTTGCTCTGACCTCATTTAGAGCAGAACTGCCAATGTCTAGCATCAAGTCCAGGGTCATCACTAGCTGTAAAGAATGGAGTGGTCAGCCAACGATGCCCTGAACATCTTGGTCCAGGAGAACTCTTTTTCTGGAGTGGTCATGTTTTTCACACCAAGAGAGGATTTTGCCCAATATGGGCCCAACCTAGCAATCACTCCCATCTTCACATAAGCACCAGGTAGAGGGTCTTTTTCAAGAGAAGTCAAAACTTGAAGCTTGGCCCCTCGAGGATGGCCCTTGGACAGAAAGTCAGCCTAAAGTTGTCTGTGCCCAGGTGCTGGTTTCTGTCCCAAGAGTCTCAGGCAATGCCTGCGGACGACGGGCTCACTCAGGGGATGTTGTGACTCTCCCCAGAACAGCTCTCTCTTCTCTCACAGGCAGGAAGGGAAGGGACAAGACCAGATTCTTTCACAGTAGCTACTGACATTCAATTCTTCCATCGAATTTGCTGTGGAAAGTACAAAGGAGGGTCAGTTTTCACTGGTCTTTAAAGTGAGGTAAACAACACAACTTAAGAAGGCTTGTAAGCAGATAATGTAAGAAAAGTTAAGGGGATTGAGAAAATGGTTTTTAACAGGTATGCATCGATTTTGTAACTTACAAGCCTAATTTAGGGCACTTGTTTCCTTTTTTCTGGTTTTGTCTTCAGCAAAGCCTCTAGGACATTGCTTAATTACCATCAGATGAGCCCAGCAAAGGCCTCAAAATAGCGGACTAAATACTACATATACTAATACTACAATACTACATATACTACATATACTAATGCTAATTTATTATGCTAATACTAAATACTACATAATGCTAATACTACAATACTAAATACTAATAACTAAGTACCACTAGCTCCACACTGACCATAGAGTTCTTTCATATGATGAGAGATGGGCCAGCAGAGCTCCTCTAAAGGCTGAGGCCTAGTCCAGCACTTCTTATTTCCACCAGGCAGGTCAGGTCTACTCACAGGAAACTACAGTCTCAACTGTTTAAATCTGCACTGGCTTTAATACTTCCAAGCACAGGCCTCTCCCACCTGCAGGGTCTCACAGTTCTCTAAGCACTTTATTTAAGTCTCAGTTGGCGACCCCCAGATGACCCTCTATCAGCCCTCATCACTAGTGTAATTTCTTCTTTCAGAGCACTGATTTGATCTTTGGGCCACAGGAGAGTTTACACCCCTATGACTCGGCTCACTTCGATACCAGCCAGGCCTACTTTGGGAGCCGTCTCCAGAGAACGACAGAGGGAGAAGCCGAGCTGCTCACCGAGCTGCTGAGAATGGCATCGATCTTCTCCTCCTCGGCAGATCCTTTGTCGACCTTACTCCTGTACGCCACCAGCTGCTGACGATCCTTCAGGTCCCGGTAGGCCTGGTCACCAAAACAAACATGCCAACCCCCCAATCAACTGTCTCTCCAAGGGGCTTTTTGTCACTACCACTTTAGGCTAAGGTCCCAGAGGAGGCCAAGAAGCTCCAATGGGCTCACAGACCCACAGATGTTTATCCAGGAGACAAATCAGGAGAAGTTACTTGACTTGATTCAGAAGCACAAATTTTCTAAAAGTGACAAATTTTCTAAAAGCAGAGAGACATCACTCAAAGGGCCGAAAGAATAATAAGGGGGTACTGGTTGTCACACTGACTTATTCCACACCATTCTGTCTGTTAAGCCAGAGTTTATGGCAGTACCTCAGGATCCAGGATATGGTAACCCTCCTTCTCCCTCAGAGAAGGTCTAACTCAGGGTTTCACTGGGATTGGTAATCCTCTACTCTCCAGAGGAGTCTAACTCAGGGTCTCACTGGATTTTGTAATCCCCTACTCTCCAGTAAAAGAAGACTGGGGGCCTACTGGTAAGAAACTGTGCTGTAATCCCAAAAGTTTAAGGTTCAAATCCACCAGCTGTTCGTTAGAAGAAAGATGGGCAGTGTCCTCTCATGTATTAAACTGCCCCTGAAAACGCCCTGGAGGGGCAGCTATGGGTCAGTTCTGATTTGGTGGTACTCAACAAACCTACACACAACCCTCCCGTGAGGGAGCGCTGGTGGCACAGGCCAGAGGAAGCTGCCTCTCTGATAGTTCGAATCCACCAGTGGCGCTGTAGAAGAAAGATGTGTCATCTCTTCCCGTGCAATTTACAGCCCCAGAAACCAAATGGAGAGTCAGCTTGGAGGCGGTTTAGTCCCAGTAAGAGTATAACTCATGATCTCATTTCTGGGGAACTCACATCAATGACGACATCATGGCACTTAAACTTAGTGGCTAAGTTCAATTTCATGTCCACATCTTCCACCAAATTGACATACTCCTGTAATATCTGTAGAAAGAGGTATTTCTGATTAGTTATTCCCAGGCACCTAAAACAAAGCTCCAGAAAAAGGACAAACTCTAATGAAGACTAGAGAGGTCAATATGAAACATCTACTTTTTTCAGATCAAGATGCAGTTTAAAAGGGAGCCAACAACTTGAATAGCTTCCCCCCTCCCCAGAAGTTATTGTTGTTGTTATGTGCCGTCGAGTCGCTTGCAACTCATAGCGACTCTATGTACAACAGCTCTAAACTCTGCTCTGTCCTGTGCCAATCTCATTGTCTCTGACACACTCATGCCGATTATCCCAGTCACCGAATCAATCCACCTCCCAGAGGGCCTTCCCCTCCTGCGCCTGCCCTCCACCCTCCCAAGCATGATGTCCCTCTCCAAGGACCGGTCTCTCCTTACAACATGACCAAAGTATGTCAGAAGACACATAAATAATTATGCCAAAATGTATGAAAGGTGAAGTTAACAGTCATTAGAGTCAAAACCACAAGGACAGAGCACTTCATACCCACTAGAAAGGCCATCATTGTCAACAAAGGAAGAAAACCGAAAGTAAGAAGTATTGAAAAGAATGTGGAGAAACTGGAACCCTGTTGTATTTTTGGGAGGAATGTAAAATGGTATATTTTCTAGAGAAACAGTTTTGTGATTCTTAGAAAAATATTTCAATATATAATTATTATATGACTCAGCAATTCCACTCTTATTAGAGACTCAAGCTGCCTAAAAGTAGAGACTCAAACAGATCTTTATATGTACATCAGGGCTCACTGCCTCCTACTCACCACAGCCAAAAGGTGGAAACAACTTAAAGGTCCATGAGGAAATTAATGAATAAACAAAAAGCGATGTAAAAAAACCACTATTCAATAGTAAAGAGAATGAAGTTTGGACACATGCTACCATATGAATGAAACCTGAACAAGATAAAATAAACCGAGGAAAATAGAGTGAACATATAAAAAGATAGATATGTGGCGAGCTCTGGTGGCCTAGTGGCAAGAAGCTGCACTACAATTCAGAGGTATGCAGTTCAAATCCACCAGATGCTCTGCTGAGAAGGAGGGACAATCTCTTCCTGTACCAATGAGATCCAATTTGATGATACATGCACAAAAAAGAATAAAATAAAATTTAAAAAAATTTTAAAAAGATAGATATTGTATAATTCCATTAACATGAAATAGCGAGGATGCTACTGTCGTTGGGTGCCATCAAGTCGAGGACAAATCACAGTGATTTTATGAACAACAGACTGAAACCCTGCCCTACCCCATGCCATCTCAAAGTCTCCACAGTGTTCAAACCCAATGTTGCTGTCACCATGTCATGTCTAGGAGAGTGAATGCAAAGTGATTTCCAGGACCTGGTGTGAGGGGGTTATGGGGCATTATTGCTGAAGGTGTACCAAGTTTGGGATTAGAGTGATGACATACTTTTGAAAATTTATCAGAGTGATTACTATACAACATGAATGTATTGATGTCACTGAATTACACATTTCACAGCAATTAAAATTGGCACAGATTTTGTTACATATATTTTACCATAATAAAAGTATTGTGATTTGAGTACAAATTTTCAAAACAAAAGTAATTTTCCATTCAATCATTCATACACATTTTATTCCATAACATTAATTCCAATACCAACAAAGTAAACTACATTTTCCCTACTTCTTTCTTGGAATTCGGATTTCCATTAATCTTTCTCTATCTGTTAAAACAAGAAAATTTTATTTGAAGCCACCAGATGCTCTGTTGGAGAAGGAGGGACAATCTCGTCCTGTACCAGTCAGATCTGATTTGATGGTACACAAAAATAATAAAATTAAAATAAAAAAAAATTTAAAGTAAAAAAATGCAATGGGAAATGGGGTGGACCTTATGAACAACAACGACAAGAATTGATGCCTTTGAACTGTGGTCCTGGGGAAGATCACGGGAATGTCCTGTGGACTACCAAAAGAACAGAGAGATCTTGGAGAAAGTGCAACCAGGGTGTTCTTTAGAGGCAAGGAGGGCAAAGCTTCATGTAGCGTACTTTGGGCACGTTGTTAGGAGAAAGGGTTTCGTGGAGAGGGTAATAGGCTTGGAAAGGTAGAGTGTAAGCAAAAAAGAGGCAGACCCTCCACAAGACGGACTGATACTGTGACTGAGGCAATGGGCTCCAGGGTGTTGGAGATGTTGAGGATAGTGCGGGAGAAGGCCAGGGCTCAGAGCTGCTGTTCACAGGGTTGCTATGAGTTGTACTTGACTCAATGGCACTTAACAACAACATGGAAGGATAGAAGTGAAACACAATCTCCCATATCCTACGGCTAAGCACCCATTCCAGCAATCAGAATGCTCTAGAGGTGATCAAATGCCAAGCCCTTAGCTATGAGAACTCCATCTGTAATGTCTGAACAGCATACCGGTACTCATACTCCACAGAGGCCAAAATCAAATACTCCTTGGAGAGGGCAGTTTGGAATCACAGAGGATAGAGGAGAACTTGCCTTCCTAAACTTTTCTACCTCCAGGCCCAGTGAAGCCATTATATTGCCGTTGGGTAAAAATTAGAAGCGGTAACGTCTCCCCGCATTGGCTGTTAAGAGGATAGACGTCAGAGTCTTTGACAGTATGTACCTCAACTCTGTAAGGGGCCATTACCTGGACAGGGGCACTGTTCTTGTGCAAAATTTCCACAACTCGATGGAAGCCAATGGGGGCTCTCTTCTTGGTGTAGCCGAGCCAGTTCTGAAAAAGGAACATGGGACAAAGTGGTAGCTCAGAGGGGTCTATTCAGCACACACCAAGGAGTCACTCTATGCTTTACAGTCAGATCAGAGTAAAGGCACGGCAGGACAGAGGAGAGAGAAATGAAGAGAGGTGAGATTGTCAGAGAAATCAACGAACTTGAAAGAAGGGAAAGACTCTAAGACCTACAAGCACAAGCGCAGAAAAAACAAATCTGGGAGATTGCTAGTCGTTTCCTTAACAATACTTCTAGTGTGAGTTTACCTGTGTAGAAATGCCCTGTAATCTGTGTCACTATATGTGTTGGATCTTATTTGCAAATTCATGGGAAAAGGTTCAGAAAGAGATCTGCCAAACTTCTGACAGCAATTAGCTTGAGGCAAGGCTTGGACTGGGAGCAGGCAGACCAGGAAAGAACAACTTCACTCTATGTGCTCTCTTAGAGCGATGCTTAACAGAGCCCTGGACTGTTCAGTCCACTGATGTAAATAATTAAATAATCAATGAGAAAGGGAAGAAAAGAATATCCTCAAACCTGAACCCATAATTGGAAAAAGAAAAAAAAAGGTGGATCTTTATACATACAAAGAGAAAGCAATGACGGCAGAAATGCTCACGCACTGGACAAGGAGGTGGGCATACTGGTGTAGTGGTTGGTAAGCACTGTCGAGCTGACTCCAATTCTGAGCAGCCCTTAGGTGAATGGCAGAGAACTGCCCACAGCCTCCTAGGTTGAAATCTTTCCAGGAATAGGTCACAGAAGCCACTAGGTGGTGGTGACATTTTGGAGCACAGCCCACGACTTAACCACTGCACCACCACGACTCATTAAGAGACAGAAGCATTCATTTTATTATTCTTTCAATCTTCCTTTAAGTTTTAAATTTTGGAATATTAAAAAAAATGGAGGGAAGCATGTAAACCAGTAATTAGCCCATGATACGCCTAGGAGGCAACTGGATAAAAGCCTGAGGCAATGACTCTTTGCTTTCTCCCTGGACATGCACAGCAGGAGACGGTTCCAGGGCACCCACCTTCGTGGTAAAGAGGGCATCGACGTCATGCCAGGCTCGGAGTTTGGCGCGGGCAGCCAGGGCCGTCAGCACATACTGTTTGTCTGGAATCTAGAAAGCAGATACCAGGAGAAGTTAAGGAGAGTAGAGACGAGTGGAGGATGGAGATGCTTGAGAATTCTGGAAAAGACAGATGAAATACTGCCCTGAAAACAATGTATTTCATAGGTGACCAAGAACCCATTCATTTTCAAGCCTGAGAACAGTTGTAGGCCGTTCTCACTTCCCACAAGCTCATTCCTTTCTGCCTGTAGCTCTCAATATCAAAGGGCTTCCTGTGAAGGGTAACACAGCCCCAAGCATTTTACACAGTTACCCTGATTGTACGCTTACCAAAACACTAACCAGTTGATAGCTACCTTAAACGTTTTCTTCAGGTTGACAGGACTGCTGAATGTCCCCTAGAATGAAAATGGAGAAAAGGAATGTTAGCGTCATAATTTCCTAATCTCCTAACTGCTTTTCATTAACTAGATTTTTACATCTCACACTATAACCATGTGAACCCAGAAATTAATTAAGAGACAGGCTCTATTTGGTCTAATCATGCATTACCAAAATCCAACTAAAAGGAATTCTATTAGTAATTATAGTCCTTTCCTTAATTATCTGCTGATCCAAATAAGAGAAAACGTCCACTTGTGAATATGAAATCCAAACTCATAAAACCAAACAATGTCCCCCAAATAAAACATATCTACAGCTAGTTGGTACTCTGCTGTTCCTCTTATCTAAGGGAGTTTTTTCATCCCTGCCTTGTGTCAATCTACCTGAAATTACATCACTCTGAACAGAGACCATCACATAAAAGGCAATGTGCACAGAATGTGTGCAACTAGCACGTCAGCTCACTAGAAGGCGCGCACACTCTTACCAACCACATCTCCCCTCTTGACTCGCCCCTACTGAGGGCCAGGGAAGCTTCCAGGTAATTTCCGAGGACTACATGCACTCAGTGTTATGAAAGTACATCAAAAAACCAACTCAAGGTGGATCATGGACCTAGGACTAAAACCAAGGACTATAAA